AACACATGCATGCTAAGAACAACACGTGCATGCTAAGAACAATGCACCCATGCTAAGAACAACAGAAGCATGCTAAGAACAATGCACCCCTGCTAAGAACAACACAAGCATGCCAAGAACAATGCACCAATGCTAAGAACAACACAAGCATGCTAAGAACAATGCACCCATGCAAAGAACAACACAAGCATGCTAAGAACAATGCACCCATGCTAAGAACAACACATGCATGCTAAGAACAACAGAAGCATGCTAAGAACAACACAAGCATGCTAAGAACAATGCACCCCTGCTAAGAACAACACAAGCATGCTAAGAACAATGCACCAATGCTAAGAACAACACAAGCACGCTAAGAACAATGCACCCATGCAAAGAACAACACAAGCATGCTAAGAACAATGCACCCATGCTAAGAACAACACACACATGCTCAGAACAATGCACCCTGCTAAGAACAACACACGCATGCTAAGAACAACGCATGCATGCTAAGAACAACGCACCCATGCTCAGAACAACACGCGCATGCTAAGAACAACACGCCCATGCTCAGAACAACGCACCCATGCTCAGAACAACGCGCCCATGCTCAGAACAATGCGCGCATGCTCAGAACTGGTAAAAAGAATTGGTATGTTTGCTGCCACCAAGCGTCTCACACTCTCCCACTGAACGAAATACAAACACACAGCGAATCCTGAAGGATTAAACTTATAAAAGATACTGCAACACCTGCTATCTAGTTCATTAGGCAGAATGGAAGGAGTAAGATGGGGCAGTAGTGAAATGTTCAAAATCCATTACTGATCATTACTGTTCACCATGTTAGTTTAAGGTAAACCGTGTAAATTTCCTATAGCTGTTTATTTGATAGAAGTAAAATCCAAGAACAAACCTCAACACATTTTTCATACTCCGTCCAACAACCTCTGGCTGTAGAGCGCAAAGGACCATATCACTATTCAAAGCTGACCAATACAATAAAGATGATCCTTTATCAACACATACAATTTTCTTTTTATTTCAAAAGCCATATAAGTCTCCCTTGTATTCACCTCCAGCATGCCATGGTAGTCCATACGAATCAGCTGGGTAGCCTGACCCCGCGTCACACACTGTTCACTGCCTGTCTCGCTGTACCCCCTAAAGGCTATCAGTGTGGGGAATCCAATAACGCTTAGTTGGGCACAGGTTACTGGATCTGACGTGCAGTTCATTATATACATTGATGCACCACCTGCAAGAATACCAAAACAGAGTGATCCTAATCAAGGCAAGCCCAGTTCGATGGACAAATATACGAAAAAAGGACTATCAAATCAAAACTGTTAATAAACTTGAATATACAGCCCAAGCAATCTTGCAAATTAAACTTTAGATTTCCTGATGAATTTAACACATCAGGGAAAACTGAAAGTTCTTTTGGAACATATGATGTATCCGTCAAAGCATTATCATTTCAATGCATCGTTGATCACCACATAATTCTCCAAACAACTCTTTATTCTGGCAAAGACGAAGTCCGAAAATTCCAAGGGAAAACGAAAACTCAATCCTGGCCACAAAGTTAGAAGTTGTGAAGAAAATGGACCAACAAAGCATTAGTTTGGAGGTCAGTAACAGGTTTAATAGTAACAGTATGACTAAAGGCAAAGAGGGGCATGGATCTTTGTAGCTTCCTCATTTGTCATAAATCATTTAAGCTACTTTCCCTTCAGTGTTCTGATATTCTGGAAGCCTGACTACCATGGCCGTACACATCTTTTACAGGTTGGAGTAATTCAATCATGAAAACAACAGAGGGCGCTGTTTCACTTTCTCTATTAAACTTTGGTCATGTCTCAAAAAGAGCAACTCCACATCTGGGTTTTGATTTGTCTCTGACATCAGACCATTTGTAGGTTGGTAATGTTTAGACTAACATCTTTGGCTTCACATCACGTGATTTGATGTTCTAAAAATAACAACTTGGCAAAAACTGAGCTTGGGTGTCCTGTTAGCAATCTAGTTTGAAAACAAACAAAACTGAGGTTTGTTATATTTCAGGACAACAAGAGACATGGACGGGTCTGACACTCCACGGTTGAATTCTGCAATGGACCACTGGACTGTGTCAACTTAATTTAAAGTCGGTCTTTTGCTGACCATGACCATTAAAGTCCGGAGGTGTGGTATTTTTTTTGGCCAGTGCTATTCTCCTGAATAACAGTGACAGCCACAACTAAACGATACTTTTGGCAATACTCATGCAGGCCCAGTTGTTGGTGTTATATTTATTCATCTTGTGCGAGAGTATGTTAAAATAGATGTTTCATCCAACATAACAGAAGAGAGACTAGCAACTGCATAGGTGGAGTTTACATAGGAAATGCTGAGGTAGTTTGGTGAAAACTGGTTTTTGACTTGTACATGTTACGAGCCATTGAACCGGTAGTCTAGTCACTTTTTAAATGAAATTCAAACCCTGGAATCTCATATATTAATATAATCTTCTTGATTTCACCTACTGATCATCTTCAGTGAATCCACCAGCCTCTCAAAGACGGCCATCTTCCTTCGACAGTTGCTGCAGTCCGTCTGGACAAAGGCTACCAGTGTGGTAAATGCAACATCTTTCCTCCATGGTTCAGTGAGGCGTGAGGTGTCCCCGGAAGCCCGAGAACGTTCCACGATGCTCGACCAGGATGCATCGGTCACCTGTGGGATCTTGCCAATCATTGGTTGGGCAGATGCGGCACTAGATTTCTGACAAGAATTAGACAAAGTGGAAATTAATGATGAGATAAATAACAGAAATTAAATTTTTTTTATGAGACAAGAGGCTTTCCTTAATCCTAACAGTCCTCAGTCCTCAAATAGGTGAAGGACTGAGGACTGTTAGGGTTAATCAAATAAGAAGTATTTGCTGGTATAATAAAGTGTATAAAAACTGAGCTCTGGCGGCTTATTCTCGTATGTTCATGAACAGCTTCACTCGTTGTTCGTGGATCGGCCGCTCAAAAGCGGGAACAAACAACCGGTTACCGATGGTAGTTAGTGACAAGCAACATGCAATATGGCGGTGTCCATGTAGGCTACATTATTCGAGAGTTAATGTTTGGATAACTAGGCTGAATTCTTTTCTATTTAGACAGAAGCATTCATTTCTGTGTCATGGAAATAATTATGTTAGTTTGCAAAACTTCCTATTGTCTGTGGCTTTGGAAGCCATCTCTCTACTTTTTGCAGCTGTTAAAAAATCAAAATCTCCTGAGTTTTTCCATGTGTTCTTGTAAAACCCTGACGAAGAGGTGGTGTGTGATCCTGTTCCAAGAACAGTGTTCTTGAGTTGAGTTCCTGCCGTTCGAGCACGAGAACAAGAATCCCGCGTCAAGAACAGGCCGCCCGAACTCGACCCCAGACATTACACACAGTATGTGTGTGGCAAACGTTAGCTTTTCCAATATGCATAATTTTCACAGTTGTAATTGTGATAAAATGTCATGCTCAAGGACATGTGCATCACAGTCCTTACTGTGGTACTCATTAAGAGTCCCATAAACTATCTACAAAAATATAAATTAACAAACTAATGAGTTTTAACGAGTTACAATTACACTGCCTGACAAACCTTTTTGACCCAGACTGATTTCTGGATATTACTGGCTTCAGTTTTGTCCTTGCGCTTGACCTTCAACCTCTTCGACTGAGTCAAACTTCTCAGATCACACAAGTCTTGGTTATTCAAATCATCAGGTATTCCAAGGGTGTTATTCGCAGGACTGGTGCAGAGAGTTGGTTTGTACTTTGTGAAACCAAAAGCAAGCTGAGCAAAAATAAGAAACTTTAATCATATTTGGATTCTGCAGTTCTGCGTGGCTTTTATAATTTCTTACATTAAATTGACAATGACAGCTTACTTAAAGTTCGCAGACAGGCAACAGTCATTTTCAGTTTAAACTCTTCCGTCAGAGGGTTGCAGAATGACAAACAGAAATTGTAACATGCATGCAAAAATACCAGGAAAGCCACGCCTCAAATTTATTATCCGTGCTGAGCTGAAGTGCCACCCTCACCGACGAAAGAAAGACAGGTGGCAAGTATTCCAACCGGGTTCTAGCACGCATGTGGCGTGCACGCGAAGACCACACATTCTAGACTGAAATCGCTGCATGTACTCAGCGTGCTCCGCATCAAACGCGCATAAACTTGCGCAGCTATGTGGTGCTGGAGTGCCAAAGGACTGTCAATTTCTTTTCAAAACACGCCCTCTTTTGTTCCTGCTGGGAGCAGATAAAAAAAAGGTCGGCCTTCTCTACATTCAGCTTGGACCCAATTTGGCAAACAGAATTAGAAGCCGTGGCAAGGGGGTATGCATCCCAAGCCTCTTCCAACTAATATGGCAATTGCGACTTGTCTCAATGTTTGGTCTTGTCAAGTCTGAGAATGCGTGCACCAGTGTGATGCCACTGCAGTATGGTGTCTCCTCTGATCGGCGTGCACATATCAATACTAGTAGACCATCAATTAAAGATGTGGAAATGAATTAAACTTGCCAAAAAGGGTCGAATGATCGAAAGGCTTTGTAACAGCTTCTGGTCAGTGAAGCATGAGATTGCTGTGACTTTTAGACCACAGAAAAAGCAAAGTCGAAAAAATCCACCTCGTCGTCAATGTCCTGCTCCGCCCACGGTGAGTACTGTAGCTCCTCCCCTTCTGCATCGTATATCGGTACTTGGTTTTGCTCCAGGAAAGTTGCCACGGACCAAGGGGTTGGGGTAGCTTCAGGAAAGACCTTCTGATGTAAGACTAGGCCTTAGCCACGAAAAAGAGAAATTGAAAGAAGAAATATCTTGGCAGATTCTTGGTGGCCAAGCCAAGAAAATTTCTTCCATTTGTGGGGGAGGGGATCCTTCCATTTGTGGGGGGGGGGGTTGAGCTCAGTCATGACAGGGCAATCTTAAAAAAATGCCCAGGACTAACTGAACAGCCTAACTGCAGAAGCAGATGCTGTTCAACAGCAGATGAAGCCAGCACCTTCAACTCACCGGGGGAAATATAATAAATGTTACCTTGACTGCTCCCAGACTACATAGGAATACAGACCCTGGGTCATTTTGTGATGACAACCTACTGTGTACACACTGAACCTGTGCATGTTTGAGTTCCATATAGAAACTACATGCTCACCAGTGACTGTGGGCATTTGTGCACATTTGTGCTGTAAAACCATAGGAGGGTTAACCTTAACCCTCCTCGATCCTCCAAAATCCTTCGGGCGGTTTTGGAGGATTTCGGAGGATTGAGAGAGAATCCAATTTCCCCCCCCCCCAATATTGGAGGATTCTAAAGGATTGAGGAAGGTCTCTAACAAAAAGGGCCTAGAGGGTTAGGGTTAAGTCCTAAGTAAATAAAAACATGTATCAACAGTTAAATGAATTAACAATTCACCTCCTGAATATTAAAGGCACACTGATGTATTCAGAACCAAGTGCCACAAGAATTAATTGAAATTGACCAGAGAGTCACCTTTGTCATCTGTTTCCTTCCACCAGAAAAGAACGGAGAACGGAACGCCCTTAGCGTAGGTAGCGTCGACCCATCGAGTTACAACTGCAAAAAAAGTCAAATTTACAACAGCGACCAAATTTCATGAGTGGATCAGCAAATTCTGCAAGCCAAGCAGCTGGATGAAATCAGCCATTAAAGTTATTGTGGAGCCAAAACTGTGAGAGATTTTCTCATTTTTTCGCAAGGCTACTTGAAAGGTACCAATAAACGATGCAAGCACAAAGCTACCTCGTGGGGTAAAAAACAAACTTTCTGCCCGAAATTCCCTGAACTGCAATACTTTACATACCTTCGGCATGCTTGTTGAGGTCAACAGATCCGAACTCCAGCCCCGCCCCATCCTGCAGATGAAACTCAGCTGCCGATCGCTGTAGTGCATCCAGGTATGACCCCGTGTCATGACCCCAGGGAGCGTGGAAGCACACCAAGGTCGGCGACCTCTTGACCTTTGGACGGATGATGCGGCTTTCAAAGTTGTCCAAAGTTAGAATGGCCACAGGGGACAGTCGAATGCTAAGAAAGGTTCTCAAATGCTCCATGGAAGACTTAGGTCCTTCAAATTTCTGAACGGCTTGGCTCCTCAGTATGTCTGAAAACAACCAAATTGCTAAGTAGATCTCTGGAATAAAACTGTTTCCACATTTCTGAGGCCTTACATTTAACTTCTTATTTTTTGTTAAAATAAAACAAAAACCAAGCCAGTTTCATGTTTGGTGTGAGTGTGAATGCAATGTTTTGATGCTGAGGCACATATTTACTCGGCAATTTCAGACAACATGAGCATATTTTAACACCAAGTAATACAACTATTCAATGTCAAAATTGGCTATGCGTAAACACTCAAGGTACCCAAAACCAGGCTCCCCAGCAGGATACGGTTAAGGTCAATTTTGAAAAAAACAATGCCTAAGGTCCGGCTTATTCACCGGATAAAGGGGCTTATGATGAAAAGATCAATTAATGTTCATGTGTACAAACAAAATGTGACAAGCTTCAAGTAAAATCGCAATTTGATTAATTTGATTTGACCTCAGAAGACTTAAATGTTATCTTCGAAGGTGCAAGAAGAGAACTTAACATGCTGGTATGCATTACATCAACACAGGGCAAAAACCAAACCAAAATGACAGCTTACAATATAGTATGTTTCATGGACATTTGGAAACTCAAACCAGCTCTTAAATTACCTCTAAAGTCCAAGACGACCACAGCTGGTAGTGTCTGAATCCCGTACTGAGCCATTAGCTTTACAGCATTATCTGAGCCTGGATGCACCATGAATACCTGGGAAGCTTCTTTGTAGCTTTCTCTGAGCTGAATGAAAAATGCTAAAAATACTGGATTTCTATAGGGTTTTCGTGCCGGGCTGCCGGCAAGTAAACTGCATTTGGCCATTGTTGAAAAATTTGTTAATCGCTACATGGAGATGTGTGCTGGTGAAATTGGACAGAAGATGCCATAGACCATTACTGAGAAGCATTCAAAGAAACTCATCAGAATTTCCCAACCTTTACTATTTTCTCAACCAGAGTGTACCCTTCCATCAGAATCAATCCAAAACTCACGCTCAACCCTCATGTCAAGTAAACTCTGATTCTGAATGAATATGCCGTGATAATTTTCTCGGCTCTCCTGAATGTCTGCCACCAATTTTGCCCCAGCATTCTAATCTATTACATATTGGGGGGCATGTGGCCTAGTGGTTAGGGTGTTTAGCTTCTGATCATAGGGTCAGAGGTTCGAATCCAGCTGGTGGCAGCATGTTGCAACCTTGGGCAAGTCACTTATACCCCTATGTGCCTCTCTCCACCCAGGAGTAAATGGGTACCTGTGAGGGCAGACACGGTTATGTTAGCCGTTTGCACCTGACAGGACTGTATCAGCCGATATACTCCCCAGGGAGCTGAGATGTTTTTAGAAATGTTCAGTTGTTGTGAGTACAATGTGCAGGGATAATAACGATAAGCGCATAGGGACTTCCAAAGTGACATGCCCTATACAAATAACAGTTAATATTATTATTATATTTTCACCTCCTTCATCTTAGATTCTATGTCATAGTGACTATCTTCGTCCACAAATGCGATGAGAGCCAACTCTAAGCTGGAGGGAAGCTTGCCGAGAGCTTCGCTGCTGAACTCTGGAATTCTATCCTTGTATTTGACAGCCTAGAATTGTAGAAAAGAATTCCGTTCTTCTTGAAAGAATATCACTTGCAAGGGAGAATCATATGCTAAGAAAGACAAGGGGATTCCAGAAATTAGGGGTCCTTTTTTTCGTGTCCCTGTCACATCCGACGTGACTTTGTAAGTTCAGAACGAAGCTTCTCATTTCCAAGAGTGGTGAATTAATGCAAATGACCTGCCAAACAAATGGTAATAGTTTGAAAACCATTCTGGTGATATTACCAGATGTACATGTAACAGGGACACAAAAATGTCACACTTTAGGACCCCTAATTTCTGGTATTACCCATAAAACAAAACCTTTCTGACCAGGTCATCCATACTTTTGTCCTTTTAAGATGTACAAAACGTATGTTAGGTGGAAACATGTCCTCCAGCCATCATCCTCTTTTTGCAAAGACTTGGGGGACGGGAGAAACAGAAAGAGTGCATTTTGTACACTTGTGAAAAGAACAACAATAACGGATGATCTCTTATTTGACCTGACTGAGAAGAGAAAATATCCTTTATGGAGCTTCTTTGCAAGCATCTGTGAACAATTTCCAAGTTGATTTACCTGTTTGGTGAGCCATCGGTGAAGGTCTTTAGCCTTCCCTGGTCCCCTGTAGTCAGCTGGCTGGGCCATGCCGATGAAGCATCGTAATACTGGAAGTTTGTCTGGTACCTTGAAGCCCCTGGTAGGCTAAAAACAAGAATGGGCATGACAATGGGAAACCGATGAATCAAAATCTTTGGTGCACATGAAAATCAGTTTGTTGTCTTCAAATTCTAAAAAAGTTGCTCCACAACTCTGCATTTGTGAGTTCAGAAAAAACACTCTCCATATAAAAAACAGGCACTGCTTTCAAATGTAACATGTCCACTAACATACTTACCTTAGATTGATTGAAAAAAGCTCCTAGTCTCCAAGATGTATACAAGTTGTCACTGATAGTCTGAGCTTTGGACCAGAAATTGTGGACTTGTGTTTCCAAATCGGGAATAAGGCCTAAAACAACAGCAAAACAGCAAACCACACATAGTTGAATATTAAAATAATCGAGCCAAGGACACAATTATTGCGTCCAATGTACTTTCACTTAAATTTGATGTGCCTGATGAAAAGGCAATTTTACGACAATGTTACTACATAACACACTTTACCTTTGTCATTTAGAGCTTCGTAAAGTACTTCAACTCTGATATTATTGTTGTTACCGTATGGTTCTCAACATTCAAGAGTTTTCAAATTCTGATAAAACAGAGAAAAAAAATGGTAATGCAGCCCACATACCACGCAGCCTGAAGAAGACGCACACTGGTCGGTGGATGGCTGTCTTCAAGTAATATCCAAGCATAGCCTCTTTGAAGACAGGCAACAACTCGCGATGAATTGCCCCAGAAATAGCAACATTTCGTGTCTCATCATCTACTGACGAAGTACTGTCATCTGCAAAGGGAACTGACGCATTGTCTCCACTCAGACTCTGATGGGATGAATGGATCTGATTTTCCTCGGGCCATTCCAGAGATTCCGAGCTCGGCTGTAGCTGTTTTGAAGTTTCGCCCTTGTCAACAGTATCGGTTGCTGGACTTCTCTGATTGTCCGTGTCTGCATAATGCCCCAGGCTTTGGGAGTCGGTTACTTTTGGTGATGAATGCCAAGCATCATATTTTGGTTGGGTGGGGGTCAAGGCACAGACTTCACTTACATCTGGTGACAACAAATTCCAAAAGTTCTGTAAGACATGGACTGAACTTTTCCTTCTACTTCCTAACCATAAATAATTCAGCCCATCAAAAAAATGGATAAGATAAATTCAACAATGCGCAAAAAAAATGACAAAAATATACAGAGTGTCAATTGTGGTAGAACTCGGCTTGCACATAGTGCTTCATCAATATTAAGGTTACTTAGAGGAGATGTCAGTCTTTGAATACCTCCAGAATTGTAGAAGCAGACCCACAACTTGCAAAATACAGACAAAAGATGAATTAAGCTAATACAATCATCATTTATGTATAGGTCTACTGTCTGTTATTTAGAAGTCTAGGCTTCAGTTATCCCATGCAGGTGGATCAAATATTGGACTACCTACAGTTGTATATTCAGGGGGTGTGAGTGGCCACTCAAATTTAATGCAGAAAACAGTTGGCAAAAAGCTGAAATGTAAAAAGTCTCCATGCTTTTGTACAGACCAGGTGTGCAAAAACTGTAATTCGGGGTCAACATCTAAACAAAAAGAGCTGAAATCAGCTAAAAAGATGAATTCTTACACCCTGATATTCCAATATCTGGGTCCCATTTTTAGGGGTAGGCTTAAAAATGATACTAATATTACCGGGGATGATATAGCACCACCAACACATCTAGTTGAGTCCCCTAATATGGTGGCCAAGAGATTTCCTTTAACTTTGCTCATGTGGTACATGACTGCCAAAACTCTTTGCTGAAAAACTTCGGATTCATTCAGTAGTGGTGTTGTACTGGTATTTATTACCTTCATAATTAATACATGCTGTTGAGCCTTTGAGGACTCCTTCAATGTCATGAAATTAGTCCAAAATTAAGAAACGGTAAGGCCCAGATCTATAATAATAATAATATCAAAGCATTTATCAGGTGCACAGAATCTAACAGCAGGTAGCAGTATGTATTATCATTCTCCCTGCACACTGGGCTCACATTATCTGAATATTCCTAAAACCATCTCAGCTCCCTGGGGAGTACACTAGCCCGATGCTGTCATATCAGGTGCAAATGGCAAAATATAACTGTGTCTGCCCTCACAAGTACCCATTTACTCCTGCGTGAAGAGAGACACATAGGGGTAAAGTGACTTGCCCAAGATCCCAGCATGCTGTCACTAGCTGGATTCGAACCCCTGACTCTATGATCAGATTCAGAAGCTACATGTACAAACCCTAACCACAAAGCCACATGCTCCCTATTGGGCATAAATTTAGCCGAGTGTTCCTGAACGTGGCACCATTGAACAGATCTCAGAAAATCTCAAACGTGCTAGACGAACAAATTTAAGAATTTCTTTAAAGTTTAAATTACCTCCACACAACTACCAAAGTACAAGTTTTTAAGAAAATTATTTTATTTATATTAAAGGGAATTCATTGTGCACTTCTGAAACTTGAACTTTTTTGGTTGGGCCTAGAGGGTATGTACATGTACTGTATGTAATCTTAAGATTTAGGAACAGGAACGTTGTGAGCTTGAAAAAATTTCACTTATTGGGAAATCTGAGGTAAAAATATTACTTTGACAAGGCACTATGATTGACATTGGTGAAAAATGAAAGTATATATATGTTAACTACGCCACTCAAGTCTTGCGTGAGCAATCTCAGTCTATGAACCTACACTGGAATCTACATGTACACCCTTCCAGGTCCAGCATGTCGAGTCATGTGCAAGTGACGGGTAGCATCATGGGCGTAAATCCTGGGGTGATGGGGGTATATATTCCCCCACTTATTTTGGGGCGTGGACTTTCAAATCACCCCATCCCTCCCCCCCACACATTTTCTTGTGGTGAGCAAAAACTCGAAGTTTGAGATTTTTTCAGACTTCAAATGCATTATACAATTACTCAAAAAGGAAAACAATTTAAAAGCCATACATGATAAAGATGCCATTCTGAATACATATTAAAGAGTAATTGCAGAATACCCCAGCACTCTAAAAGAGACCCCTGGAATGACCAGTTACATGGGCAGGCCTACAAGGTGAAAATTCTTAGAGAACAGTGTGACACTTTGACCTGTACCCCCCCCCCCGATTCCCAAGCCAGAGGAGGCCTACTGAGGTTTCCAGCACAAATATCTACGCCACCTGGTGGCATTACTGTGACCCGCAATGCTGAATGATGGCATAGGCCTACCTTGAAAAAGATTAACAATTGGTAAAAACACACAGAAAATTAAGATTTTCATCTTCCACACTGCAGACAAAAGGCCTGATCATAGAAACCACCGTGGAAAACGTAACTGATGCGATGGTAAACATGGTAAACGTCGCAGTTACTTGGAGAGCGTCCTCCTCGTAAAAGGATCCGAAGAAAAAGAAGTGTCATTCCGGCAAGAGGGCGCTATTAAATTTGAAGTCAGACTTGCACAAGTCCGTCAAGATGACACGCTCAGCGATTTTGAGTGAAACGTTCAAATTCATAGTTCTGTAGAAAATCATCGTCCTAAAACTGTACGTTTTTTCTCTTTGTGTGCACATAGGTAAAAAAACTCAGATGGATTGTTCAAAACCCACGGCTCCCCCGAATCAAATTCAGTCGTGACGCTCATGTATGAAACATTTTAATAGTTATCAGCTGCCAGCTGCAACAAACAGAAGTAAAATGGGAACGGGCAGCGAGATCAGCCGAAACTAGGCATTAGAATTGACCAGGTCGGGCTTCTCCGAGATGTTTGTCTTCGTAACATGTTTATGCTTTGGCTATTGAAGTCTTTTGACGCTGCGCGGCGTTTTTTTCTTCGCACCCTGTTGTGTCCACTTATTATTGTGAGTTGAGAAAACCCAACTTGACAAATCTGCAAACCGTTTAGTGTACACAGCGATTGGGCTCATCTACCAAAAGTGGTAGCAGCCAATCACATTGCCGGACTTGTTTTTACATCGTTCATACCCGCTTTATAGTGAACGAGTCTACAAGTCCGACTGTCATTTCTCGCCAGATTAATAAGTGTAAGGTGACGCAATGCAATCATAAACTATGGAGGCTTGTTTCAAACAGATTTACATGAAAGGCGACAGAATAATACATCTTACAACCAGATAATTGACACAAAACAGTAAATACTAATCTATGAATAACATTTCTAAGGAGCGGTGCTACGAATTCTGAGTGGAGAATAATGACATCTAATCCCTCTCGTTGTCTCTTATTCAAATTTTAAAACCCAAATTTTTCGCCAAACACGATTTCAAGGAATGCAAAATGCTATACTTATAATTATTTTACCTGGTGAATTGAATTGAACGGCACTTGTATAACATTATCAAAGCATGGATAGCTAGGTCTAGTTATTATCAAATCAATGAAATGCCATGCGAAGTAAAGTCCTTAAAATTAAGAATTCTTAAAAAAAAAAGCATCACAATCGCTAAACTTATGCAAATCTAATTTCGATCACAAAATGCATACTGCCCTCGTGCGGCTTGACGCCCGTCTTTGATCGGATCCTTTTATGTAGAGGCCATCGACCTGTGCATGTGGCGTTCTCACCGACACCACACACGAGAAATAGCGTCGGAAATCTAGGCAACTAATAGTTTGTACCCCTAAAACCATCCATTAGCAATATATGAAGTTGTTATGGGAGCTAGACAAAAACCAAACTGATGTTTGGTTTCTTGCTCTTCCTACGCAAATATTACGTAGTTTTGTTGTTAGCGTTTGGTACCTTGCCAAGTTAAAACCTGGTACTTTTTCCCGATATCGGGATTTATGTCCTCAACAACCTTTCAGCCTAACCTCCTAGTTAAATTCCCAAAGGATGCCTCTGGAGTATAACTACCAAGTAGTACCAAGCGAAGTAAAAACACAGTTTTGGCGAACCAAAAAGTAATCAATGAAGTGTTTAAAAATATCATGCTAACCGTTAAACTGAACTCACAATTATGAAGCGGAATGTCACATTTTGCCTCTTTTAATGTGCATTTGAATATTTGGAATATTGGTGGTGCAGTAAAGTAAACAAGTAAACAAACAAAAACGTTTTAAAAACCCACTAATATTTCTGTTCCAGTTCCATGGGCTGTGCATAGCCTCATGTTGGCGTTTAACTGGAGTACTGTCAATGGAGTTTAGGCCTACGGCAACACGGCCTGGGGGTTGGGTACCTCTAAGGTTAGATTACTGTGAATGTGATGAAAATTTAATGGAATCATATTTATTGGATAAGGTTAGGAATTGAGAATTCGACTGGACTTTGGTTAGATTTGTTAGGGTTGCAGGGTAAGGAGTGGGGGTTTTAAATGGGGTTAGGTTGAGGAATCGTGAGTTTAATGGATAGGGTCACGGTTAGGTGAAAGAATTCGACATTTTTGATTGGAAATAGGGATAACCAATCAGGGGTCTGACGCCTAAAGGTGAAAAAGCCGTTCCATACTTCAATCAAACGAGGCCAGCAAAGCAAAACTGACGTCCCAAAAAACATGTGGAGCTAACTGAATTCGTTTAATTGTGTTGAACTCCTACGAGTTCGCTGCATGTGCACGAATGTTTGATCCGACGTCACAATTTCGGGTTCTTAATTCTCCGATTACATGTTTGCCATTACTAAGGAGTATGAGCCGGCCATCACAGGCTCTTGCTTATACAAATGAGTTCGTGGCTGCGATCTGTAACATGAACAAGTACTAGAAATCCAAATATCAAACTGACTGACGGAGAATTGAATTCAGTAGTGTTAGGATTATTAATGACCCTCTTTCATAATCATTGGGCGTGTCCTGTCTTTCCATTTTGCTCAGTGAGTTCATTCCCAAATTATATTAATATGACTGCTTAATTAGTTTGAACGAAACCGCAGATGCTAATTTTCTTGAAGGTAATTTTGTGTGAAAAGATCGACGTTAAACTCTCTCAGGATAATAAGTGATATCTTTCGATGAATTCCCTGTGACCCTATAACATGAAATCCATCTGTGCTGGAAATTGGGGTGGGCGGGGGGAAAGGTGGGGGATGACTTGCTTGGCCATGAAAATTTGAAAAGCGGAAAGAGGGTTACTCTATATACACTATATGGGGACGGTGTCCATGTTAAAGACGTACATCTGTGATGTGTATCAAATTCATGCAGAATCTTACATCATAATGGCATATTTATGGCTTTTAAATGTTTTCCCGTTTTGGTGGGTTGCAAACATTTCAGTCTTTGGGAAATCCGAAACATTAATCACAATCCGCCTTCATGTTTTTGCTCATCACAAAAAATGGGGGGGGGGGTAGTCAATAGCCAACCCCTCCTCCCTCTTAAAAAGTGGGGGACACAGGGACTATACCCCCTCCCTGGATTTTAACGCCCATGACATTAACCATTGAAAATTCGATTCCTATAAACTTAACAAAAACCCTCTCCATTAAATTTCCAGTTCCAAACGCTTGTTCAGTTAAGGTATCCTAACCCTTATTCAATACTCCTCAGAAACCTTGCTCATTTCTCAGTCAATATTAGGTGACAAAAACAATGAATAAAATTTTCGGAAATTCCTTCTGTATTGGTCAAGTAGTCTTGGTGGCTACTGGACCTAAAAAAAATGTTTCCCAAATAGACAGAATCTATTGATCTGGGTACCAGACTACGGGGTTTCTATACCCCATTCAAAATAAATTTAGTTCATATATCCATAAACACCTTTCTGCCCGGTCGTTGTTCAACTTTATAAGCGAGACTCTTTTGTGTTGACTGAAAGGGGAAGTAGATTCCAAAGACTGGTTGCACATTTTTACGTGCAATACATAGAATAGTATACTGCACACTTCCCAGAATGCAAAATCACAGGTACATCGTGTGCTAAGCGAACGACTTAGTCTTTTTCTGCATTTCATCAGCAAGGGGATTTGCTCGTGGATCCTAGTGGATCATGAAGTGAAATAATTATTGCAAATTGCAATAGCAAATAACATCAGCATGATCATGAGTAGATCGACAAGTGGGGTTTAATGTGCTGTTGTTACACGCACACTGGTGTCTGCCTAATTTTTTTTCGTATCCTTTCCGGGTTCGCGTGTCGGTCAACCCTTTGAGCGACACAACAGTTATGGCGGTTCTAACTCTGATGGTTTTGGTCCTGTTTCAAAAAACTGCAGGTAAGTTGGAGTTATATACAAATAGAACTGCATTTAAAAAGCTATGTGCAATTATTAACAAGGAATCAGTCTTGAATAAAATCCTTGCATTTTATTATAAAGTTCAGGTGTCAGGCGTCCAAAAAGGCAAAAGTAGGCTGGGTGTCTGGTTAAGGTCTGTCTTTGCCTCATGTTCACATTTTAAGCACAACAGCATTACGTACTTTTGAATATCTTGACCCTAATATTGCCAAAAATCGGGGCGGGCCCTCAGGCTGCAGTCAAGTCCAGAACTTCCATTAAGGGTTGATCTCATTTTCTTACGAATGTTGGCACTGTTACGCCGCGAAAAAGTGAGTTTTCCTTCAAGGAAATGCGTAGTGCGTTGAGATAAGCTCGCTGATGTTGACCCTGGAGTTAGCTGGAGAAAGTCTAATTTGCAATTCAGATACGGCGCCAGTCCTTGACTTTGGTGGTCTCAAAAATATACAAGAATAACAATTAAAAAAACTAAAATTACTTCAAATACCTCCGTCACAAAAAAGTTGGAGAGATGGAAATCCGTTGTTATTCAGACTGAAACTGAAGCGAAGACTGTTTATGCTGAATGCCGCTGGCTAAAACTTTCTGACGGGTCTCATTGCCAACATGACAGGTTTCCGTTTTCTGTGGACACTGAAGATAGACTTTGTCCTCACGTGGATATTTCATTAATTTTTCCTCTCTAGCCGGGTAGGGAAGAATCTTCAAGTTGGTCTTTATATCTGTGTTTATTTTTTTCTTTGTCTAAGGTGACACGGTGCACCAGACAATGGTCACTACAGCACCTTACGGGGCTGGGCTGGATGGGGTGAGTGTCAAGTGCATACGCAGCAGTCCAGATGAACACCTACCCTTCTCGTATAGCAGACCTTTCAAACTGGACATTCCAGGGGTCCGAAATCAAACCACCACGTTCCCAGAGGGAACGACGCTGTTGGTCGCGGATAACACGTTGGAATGGGTTCTACCCTCCATTACAGAGGCAGCCGGAATGTATTTCTGCCAGGGTTGGAATACATACACAAAGCTTACTTCGACAGTTTACAGCATCATTCATAGCAATCAGAGTGAGTATATGCACAAGCATGTTGAGTTAGAAAACAAGGCAAATTGTGCCGCTTTGAATCACGTTTTTTACGTGTTTCCCAATGTGGCGGTTTCAAAATAGGAGTGCAGAAGCTACCTTGAAAACGGATACCCGTACATCTATTATCAGCTGCAGTGGAGCACCCGGGGGGGAGGACAATAGTCTTGGGCCCCCTTAAGATTTTCATTCTTAAAAAACCTTTTAAAAACGAATATTCAACATACACCCAAATCTGCAGCTACTAGCTCTGATGCAGCCGCATACGGCCAGTCTCAGGTGGTGCAACGGGGGGGGGGGCTTGATCATCATGAGATATTGGAGGTAAAGTACGCTTCAAGGTCTGCCCCTCAGACAAATCCAGGTTGAACCACTGACTGCCAACGTATTTTTTACGCAACCGGCTAGACATGGCTCTTGAAATTTGGACACCGTGACAGCCGACGTTTTCTCTGGCCATGGCGCGCTTGGCATCCTGAACGATGCCAACACGAAAAGACCACATCAACACAAGTATCGGCACCATCTCGTTCGAGCCATCAGTTTTCATTTAATATCCATAATTATTCGAAGTTCACTGGAATAACAATGAACTCATTGTTTGCGAATTTGCAGCGCAAATGTTTGCCTTGAAGTCCGCATTTCACGCCAAATATGAGCCAAAGCCCCCAGGCTCACATTGCATTTTATTGATGGCAATTTGAGGCGTTTTTAAGATAGGTCTTCTCCTATTAAATCCCCTATTTTCTTTAATACAGAGCGTCAAAGTTTTTTCCCATATTGGTTAATAAAACAAAGATGTTCACTTGATGTCATTATGAGTCAATCATCGTAAGTCAGCCTCAAGGGGGTGTGAGGACTACTCAAGACATGAGCTGTAACGAAGGCTTTTATTTCAAGAAATTGCTGTCACTATTTAGTCCCTGTGATTTCATAAACAATGTGATAAACTTACGATTGACTGGTTTGCAGGGAAGTTCGAACCAGCCGATGGACAAGTCACAAAGACCGTCAACAAGGGAGAAAACGTGACTCTGGCGGTGATCCCAGCCAACAACGGCAGTCTTCCCCTATGGCATCGGTTTACTTACGTGGGCTCACGTTCCAATCTAGCTTCCATGCAGTATGTGATCCAACTGAGTTCAGGCATGGTGGCCGATGGTGATTTCTTTGTCGTCACTGAGAGAGACGCTGCACTTGACGACAATCACTTTGGAATGATTAGGCTCATTATCAGAGGTATACGTCGTTGTTGCCGGAGGAAAAATTCCTCTTGTTGCACCATACACATGTAATGTACAGTTTTAAAGTACGTATTTATTGTTGCATAACAATTTGATTGTCTGCAGTTTGGGGATGTATTGAAAACAAAATTGAGGAATAGTCGAAAATGTATTGAAAACAAAAATGAGCAATTGTCGAAAATCGGGCAAAATATAGTGCATGGTCAAAGAAAGGACGACGCCAACGCCTGAGGGTTGTTTTTCTAGGGGGTCCTTGATTCCTTCACCCTCTCCCACAACACCCATGCTCACCAATGCTGACTTCCGATGGTTGGAAAAAGGTAACCAAGGGGTAACAACGGCAGAACGCGACGGCAGAGTGAAGCCGTGGCAGTGTCCCCATATGCCGTTGCGTTCTGGGTTGAGGTAACGCAACATGTCGTAAATGGTACACGATAAGATCAGCACTGACAAATGAAAACCGTTGGTTAGAAGTGTATCCAAGTTTTGAATCTCAGGGGGCAAAATGTGACTTTGTTGTTTTTTTTTTTTTCGGCACTGTCTGTTTGGTTTGATGTGGTTTGGTTCAGTTTGATTTTGTTTGTCTTGGTGTGGTTTCGTTTGATGTGGCGTAGTGCGGTTAGGTGTAGTTTGGTTTGGGTCGGGTTGGGGTGGTTTGGTTTGGTTTGATTTGTTGGGGTGTAGTTCAGTTTGGCGTGGTTTGGTTCGATTTGGTTTGGTGTGGTTTGGTGTGTATGGTTTTGTTTGGTTCGGTGTGGTGTGGTGTGGTTTGGTATGGTTTAGTTTCGGTTGGTTTGGTTTAGCTTGGTTTGGATTGTGTGGTTTGGTTTATCTGAAACGATGTTTTATTAATTTTTTTATCCGTTGAAACCCCCTTATCTTCAGGAAGGCAATAATATCTTTTTCTAAAATGTTTTTGCTTTCAAGTCTTTGAAAATGGCAACATGCCGATGCTACTTCCCTTATTAAACTGGCAGTTGCAACTGAGAGTTTCGAATGCAGTCAAACTTCTTAATCACCTTCATCTAATGCTTGACGATTCTGAATGATCTTAAAGGCACCTTTCCATGCGTTTGTTTTTGACCGCGTTGCGTACGCGATGCAACCATGCGTTTCACTAAACGACTCTATTAACATAATACACGTGTGCGTTGCATTCGTCCAGGGTGCGATTTTGACAGATACGCAACGCTGGGCGCAAGTGTTCACGCGCATATGGAAAGGCGGCTTCAAGGTGGTTTATGTTTGGCCAACGTGGATACAGATTTCTTATTTCCCCCATTCCGATTGTACTTTTTGCGTATAGGCTGTGTTGCGGGCAAGTGGGGTCCTCCTGATTGTGCCAAGGTGTGTGAAATGTGCTACAATGGAGGAGTGTGTGATGATGAGACAGGAGACTGCATCTGTCCACCAGGATTCAGTGGACCAAACTGCCTCACTGGTAAGCTCATTGCCTGGTCATAGGTTGGTCTGTCTGTTTGTTTGTCTTGGTTTGACATGTGCTACAATGGAGGAGTGTGTGATGATGAGACAGGAGACTGCATCTGTCCACCAGGATTCAATGGACCAAACTGCCTCACTGGTCAGCTTATTACCTGGTCACAGGTTGGTCTGTCTGTTTGTTTGTCTTGGTGTGACATGTGCTACGATGGAGGAGTGTGTGATGATCGAGTAGAAGAGTGCATCTGCCCACCAGGATTCAGTGGACCAAACTGCCTCACTGGTAAGGTCATTGCCTGGTCACAGGTTGTTCTGTCTGTCTGTTTGTCTTGGTGTGACGTGTTACAATAGAAGAGTGTGTGATGATGAGACAAGAGACTGTGTCTGCCCACAAGAACTCAGTGTACCAAACAGCTTTAGTAGTAAGCTCGTTATTGTTGTCGTTCAAACTGGTTGAACCTATGCTCGTATAAAAATTACTGGAATTCATTTCTGCCCCATCTGGAACAGCATGTGGTAAGCACAAGTTCGGTTGGCACTGTGAATATGAATGTGGCGCTGAAAACATCATTCAGAGTTGTACAGGGAGCCAGTTTGGTCTACCAGACCCCTATGGGAACAGCTGCATCTCGGGATATTATGGGAAGGACTGCGATACAGGTACGTGAAAGTTCAGCATGGTATGCTCATCCAAAATGGTCGTACCAAAGGTGTGCGTGGATTGGGGTTTTGTAACAAAACAGCCATTGTATACTGATTGAGAAACTCAATTAAAGAGCTGTCACGGGCATCACTGTGTCAATGCCAACTCGCAAGAATGATTCCCATATAAACATTATTGTATGGCGTGTAAGTAAATTGTGTGCTCGTCAATCTCAGGTAAGAACTGACTGCCAAAACGATGCGCATCCCACGAGACAATTCGAACACCACACGTAAACCACGCATGGCGTCCTGGTATCGCTATACAGGTCATTTCTCATTGGAATACAGGCCTACCACGGATCTCCATTAGAAACTCATAAATAAAATCGGCTATTGAAATTTAAACCGAAAAACACAAAGTTCTGTTTCTGTACAGTGCTGTCTTAATTTCAGAGTGTTCAAATGGGACTTTCGGCGCTGGATGTACACAGACCTGTCACTGTAAGTCGGGAACCTGCGATGGCTTCACTGGAGAATGCACAGGGTCGCCTGAATGTGCAACAGGCTGGTCAGGATCAAATTGCCAAAGTAATCCCATTGAAATAATTGCTAGTGTAGGCCCTACTGGTTATTGATGAGGTGTGTGTCCAAACTTGCATAGAGAAGATAAATGTAACTTACCTGTGGCAGTGACATCCTTCACCAACTAGAAATACGTATGAAATCGAATTCTCTTCTTTTCCATTGCATTCCAGAAAATGCAGAAGATTCTTCTGACTTACGGATTTTATCTTTCAAATTTTACATTATGCAGTTCCCGATAAGTGTCCCGTCGGATATTATGGATCAGAGTGTATCAGAAAGTGTCTGTGCTTCAACAGGACAGTACCAGAGGGAGAGTGTGATAGAGTCACGGGAGAATGTTCCACTCCTACAGGTACATAAAATACCCACCCTAAGAAATAAAGGTTCAAATTTGCACCCCTATCACTGATATAATAGCAGCACCAATGAAGGTGCACATCTGTCCCCAGTACATGGTGTATGTTCCCCTGGATGGGGTGCACACACCCAAACTGGGGTGCAAGTTTGCACCAGTTATTGTGCCTGCTGCTATTGTATCAACAGGGGTGCAAATGTGAACCTGTGTTCTTAGAGTGGATATTCTATTTGGCTCACTGTATGGCACACGGCAAGGAACCATTGAAAAACGTGTAGTGGAATCCCTTTTTTGCATACGCACGCTGGGTGACAGAATCCAGCATGGTCAAAATATAGCACAAACGGTTTTCTGTTGTAGGTTTTACAGTCGGAGCGGACAAACCGTGTGGTCGTTCGATAAACCGGTGCGTTTAGAAACTGGAGCAATTTTTCCAAAGGTACCGCGCTGAGAGACTGTGCGTTCTTGCCAGTCATCGTTCTCGTTGGGGATGACGTCACGGTGGGTATATTGGGTGCGTTCGATTAACTTCCCTAAACACACCAGTGTTACACTCAAGGGAAGCCTCAAAATGAGGCTTATGCTGCAGTGTGTTTTCCAAGGCATTCTGGGAAAAAGGTCAAGTCCCCGCCTCATTCGATTCCATCATGTACGTCCATGCTCGAGCAGTCCATCCGTGACGTCATTACACTCGGGCAGCCTCCAGAGACCTGCTCGCTAGCTGGGGTAGTGGTGGCTGACACCAGGGCAGGCACGAACATCACGTGATGGCTAAACGAACGCTCTCATGTAAGTTTGACTTACACGTGTAAGCTAATCGAACGCACCCATTACATAGTACACAAATGCAGCTTGGTTTGAGGAGAAGAGTAATTCCCACTATTTTCCTGAAATAAACCAAACTGTATTTGTTTGACTACACTTCATAAATATTCAAATAGAAATCTCACGTTACTTGCAGTCACAGACGTCATTGTTGTGTCTCCGCTGCTAAATTTTCACGTAATAATAATGGAGTGCACAGAAACATGTCTTCAATAGTCTGGTGCCGACATACGTTTTGGGTCTTTACTGTAATAGTTATTAGGATTCAACTCCAGACTGGTTCCGTAAAGACTACATGACACAGACTACATATGTACGTGGCGGATTCCAGAGGGATTTTTTTATGCTACCAGAAAAAAAAACACTACTGCACGGAAGCGAGGTGGATGCTCACTGCTATGACGTCACCTGGTCGCGTATCATTTCTACTTCCCAGACGCGAAATGGAATCGGCCAATGACGCGCTCCGATTTGCTAATGAATATTTATGAGGTGAAGTAAGAGAGAGAGAGAGAGAGAGAGAGAGAGAGAGAGAGAGAGAGAGAGAGAGAGAGAGAGAGAGAGATGCACAGTCTCTTGTAAAGGCGGTTTCGGTGTATGAGCCACCCATACTTTATCACTGCAGTGATCGCAGCAATCATTTTGACTAAAGGATGTACAGGTAATAACTGCTTTCTGGCAAAAGGGCAAGAGATGATTCTCGTCCCCATTTTGTTGAGAGCAAATAAGCTAACTATTTTGCTTTTCATTTTTAGAGCCTCTTAATGTAGTTCTACTAGCGGCAATCGGTGGAGGTATCCTTGTCGTCTTGATTGGGGTATCCCTCTCAGTAACATTTGCCTGTCTTGGTCGGAATCGTCGCCAGCGTCACAGAACCAAACAAAGGGATAGACGTAGTAATGACGACAGTGTAAGTTTCTTTAACGAATAATGCAGAATGTTATTTAGTTGTTATTCACAAATTTACCTTTCATTCTCTTTAATAGTAACAATATCACAGTTTGTCTTTCATTCTTATGGTGGATGCAAAAAATAATCCTCACGTATAAGAACATGCAACTCAGCACATAAAATCAAATCAGGCTAAACAGAAGCTAATACGGGTATTCTAGTGTTGGGAAGTGAAATGCACTTTTTCGAAGGACGTGGCAAATAGTCAACGTAAGCCTCACATAATTGTACATATTAACTGAAATTTTAATACTTAAGCTATTTCCATAGCTAGGCTGTTGCTGATGATTGTGAGGATGCCCCGCTGAGTATGACTTTAAAACACTAGTTCTTTATCTTCATGTTTTCGGGTGATTGCACACTGACTACATTTTTGAACCTGTTTTGAAAAGGCTGAGTACGAAAACAATGACGCACAGGATCTTAGAGCAGAAGGTTCACGGCCGATGACACAGGAAGAATTGCCGGCACAATTCTATGAGAATGACTTCAGGAACCTGCCCAAAGCAGACGTCGGCCATGATGAAGCTCGGTGCCCGTACGTGGAGGTGGTGGCAACGCCCAATTAAAACCGTTGTCCACTCTAAATGGGGAAATCCCCCAGTCGAAAACGAAAGTGGGTATCTTCTCGTAGACTTTAATCAGCACCCTTGCTTTCGGCGGCTAGTCGAGGACGGAAGAAGTTTCAAAGGGGCCCATACCTCTATACTGAGGAAGGAGAGTTGGGAACTGTTTTCAAAGCTGCTTATTAAATTTCTTATGCGGGAGGGTTGAGGCTGTGGTCCTGGATTGAAAAAGCATTGTTTGCCACTCCACGAGTGCGACTGACACTTCACGGTCTACTTGAACAACAGAGAAAATTAATTTAGTTTACATCGATTAATATATTCAGTTTGCATGTGTCTTATTATAAAACCTTGACACCTGTTGTACTAACTCTTCTCTTCAAAGGCCGCTTTCTGTAAACAGCGACGCACCTTGATGAAGAGATTTGCTCCTTAAGTGCGGTCGTTTTAAAATAGACTAGAATGCATCCACGTTGATAACATTGGCTTGTATGCCCTTCTGTATACCTTGTTTACGTTTCAATTTCAGAATTCAACTTTTCAATTCAACAATTTAAAGTTGAAAATGAGATTTTTTTTATGTACGGCGTTGCTTGATTTTACTTCAGAAACACCATCAAACAACCGAGGTTAACATTTTTGCTACCCGAGGCTGGGCATCAAGTCGAAATCTGAGAAAGTGCACGATACGATCTGTATGCATTAACAATAATCTACGACTTTAATGTTGATAACAGGGGTTCAAGTGAACCACGATCTTTAAATTCACGACTAAGCCAACTTGTACAAATCCTCTCTGCGAATTCTGCGAAACGACAGTGCGCCACTCAATGATGTTGCCGTCTTTAGCTTAGCATGTCATGTTGACCGCTCCGCGCAACATGCACAATGGTTTATCCCGTGTTGTGTAAGCTATGACTACTGTTAAGAATCATCAAGAAGGCGTATTCTTTACCTTATAAATATTGGACTCAATGTAACCATGTATTAATATTATACACTCAGTCAAATTAAAACGGTAAATATTTCTAAAAATGACAATGGTTATTTGGTACGATAGTATACATGTTCTTGTGTTTATTTTAATGAAATGCAACTTGGGAAATTTGGTCTCGATGTCAGTAAAGTTTCAGTTATTCCATGTTATAATTACACAAACGTTTTGAAGAAATAATCGTTATCCTTTATCCCAAATACAAAGGTATACGTGCTTTCCCTCCTATATGATTGGAAAACACCGTGGCGATCACGCATTAGGGCGCCCCCTTTTAATTTCTTATCCCGACATGTGGGCCTTCTTTTGTGGCTCCTATAATGGTAAGGGAAACGCTTTTTTATGCCGCCAAACCTGTCTACATCATGACCAGGATTTAAAAAGAATTTTTAATTTTGGGGAAAACACAGACTCTAAAATGTCTAATGTTACAGAGGGGCTTGCTACGCTCGTATTTTTCCGCGGGACTTAACGGTACGTGCATATATACATCATGCAGAGCGGCAGAGGCATCAACCACTAGAAAATGGTTCGCGCCACGTTGATTATTTGTGTGTTTAGCCTACTTCGTGCCTGGCGCTTTATATGAAGATACATTTTTGAATTTGGGAAAACCAATATCTGGAATTTAAATCCATCAGCCCCCCTCCCCAAATGTGTCAGTTTGTCACGTGTCACTTAAGTTCTGCAACTCGGCCAGTGCGTTGCATTATGAATATTGTGGCAGTGTCGGGGGGGGTCAAACTTTTGTGTCAATAAAATTACGTCTTCTACATCGTTACTCGACTTTGAGTGGATACAGGATTTTTCGAAAGAAACAGGTTTAATTTGCTTCTCCAATATGCAAGGGAATGAATCAGCAGGTAAGTGGTGGATAGCTCATAGACTGATCCCCCCCACCTGACTTAAGCTGGTGCACCCAAGTTGTGAATGGTAAAGGTTCGTGCAGCTATAGCAGGGGTGGTGCAAACTTTGTTCATTTCGTGTTTACTGCACAGCACTAAATACAGATTACCTCCAAATTGTATGATGCTCGGGTGGAAGCACGAAAAAAAAGTCACTCAGATGGTCTTTTTTGTGTCACAACTGTACTGGTATCCGAGTGCCACGTGCGCCTTGACTAAAGGCTGGCTGTTGGCTACAGATGAGTTGATTCTTTACCGCTTATTCAAAAATCCCAAAGACAAAATTAATGTGCGATAGACAGTCATGCGTCGAACGTTTTTCATCATTTTACGTGGCCTGCTAAGCGTTCACCGTGGATGTCACGTTTTAACCCAGGATTTTGTATTTTTTTCGACCGACTGACTCTCCTCCGGTTGTATGAGAACCAACTACAGAATTTAAAAAGAGACACCCTGATCCCTATCCTTGAGCGCCCCTTAACTCGAATCTTGGGAAATAAAACTTATGAGACAGTTTTGAACTTTTATTTCAGCCAAAGGATTTCAGGTATATATGACAATATAACCTGTACAACGAGCAGGAAGTCGGATTTCCCGCTCAGTATACCGTAACGGCACCCTTCGTGGTTTACTTAGTGCAGTTGTAACTGCTGAAATTACGTCGGATAAGAAAGCGGAAGTTATTACGGCGCGCAGACTTGCAATAACAGCAGGCTGTCTGGTAGTTGAATCAACTGGCTACGACCGGCGTAGGCGTACGTGTTGGTTATTTCCAGCCACAGTCATACCACGCGAATGTAGCCATTACCTAACACAGCGGGTTGACGTCAGCCCGAATGGACGTGTGAGCAATACCGAGTTGATACAGTATTGCGTGATATCTGGACCGAGTTGGTACAGGAGTGTCGAGTTGACCAACGCCAATTTGCGTACATATGTACATGCCACTAGCACTCTGCAGCCAGCACGTCTCCATAGTACTTACGTGTGTGAAACATGGTGTGTCGAGGGTGAAGGGGATTTTGGAACGGACATGATGGAGGCTGTCAGTAGATCGGAACGTTGAAAAGTGCACGGCCTGTCGTCAGTTGAGGGTGTCGGCTGATGGCACAGACGAATTGGAGTTGTTACGGAAGCAGCGATGGGAGAAATGAGCGTCCAACGTAAGCCGTCTTTGTCCAATTTTGGGTGTGAAATTCGTGCATGTCACTCATGCCATGGTCAGCGCATGTGACATGTCCGATGCAAACGGGCACCAGCCGTGCTGGCAATGATTGGCATGATTGGTGTCTCATGGGTGTCTGTAATCTGAATCATGACATCAGTCATGGCATGAATGATCCTGATATTCGCTTGAATTGACATGCTTGAGGGAAGAACCTATGGGCATTTCACAAACGTGCGCCTCCAACTCCAACAGTCCAAGAGGTTGCAACACATTGGCCAATCACAATGCACGAAATCTGTCATGTCTGTTGACACAAAGCTTGTTTTGGAAGGGTCGACAGATTTCGCGCATGTGATTGGCCAACGCATTGCAAACTCGTGGAGGCTCACTATTTTGAATCACCGGTATAAATCATGGCATTCCCTACACAAACATCACTTTGGCTTGCATTTTAAATTGTCACTATGATTTAGGCCTAGGGGGCCACTTCCACTCAGAATTTTTCAGTGATCTCTCACTCATGTCATTGGTGTCAAGTGTTGAACATGTTGAAGTGATGCTATGGACATGATGGATGTGGATTCCTGTAATCATGATAATTGTACATGTATTTGCTTGATAATTCAAACGTAAAGATTGATTTGATAAGGGAATGTAACTCAAGTCAAACAAACATGTCAGTGATTTTTGACCAGGATCAACAGCTACTGCAGCTAATCTAATGCGCACAGCAAAATCAAGGGATCAGTCAAATCTGCCCATTAATAGGTCACAAAAGGTCAGTCCCCACTCAAACCAGGATGAAAACAGCGGTCTACTCTTCTAAGAGTGTACAAACACAGAGGTTACCCTTGCTCGCCTTGTTACCGGTCATGCTATTTAATGTTAACAAAGCGTTAATTTGAAAATACTCTCTTAAAGATTTAAAATTGGTTTATCATATTTTACAGACTGTAAGACCTGCCACTGTGTAAGACAAACATTGAATTCACTTCCAGATTCACTCAGAAAAATGCAAGTTTTTCGCAATGAATGGAGGCTGCTATCTTTCTTTACTCTGCCGTCCACGTGAAAACAAGATGGCTGTCAGTCGGGCTGCACGAATATGCCCGACTTTGTCACTCAATTTTGAACACTCAAATATCATTTCAGATAGATATAATAGGGCCTACAAGTATATGTTTTTAGCCTAATTAATATTGTAAATTAAAAACAAATTGCATAAATGTGCTTGAATAATTTGTTCACACTTTGTTGACGCTTGTTGATGCTACATACATTAGTATGGCCCCTTGTTACTGAAGGCTACTGATACTGATAGGCTCCATCACATTGTTTCAATCCTTCATTTTTCTGTATCATACTCAGAATTTTTGTGAGTGAATTGCTATCTTTCTGTATATTGCCCAAATTACATGTACATTGTACATGTATGTAAGGGTACACATACTGTACTGTACATGCTCATGCTACAAACCCCATACATGTATGTAAAGCAACTACTATTGTGTACCGATGCGCACAGGTGTTTGTATTATTCATTTTCCCTCCCAGTTGCTTGGGCTTGGTGCAAACATTCTGTTTAGAGGTACTTTGGAAAACTGCTCGTGGATTTTCAACAAATGCTTAATTTGAATAGAATTACATTTAATTTTATTTAGATTAGATTAATCAGTTATTAATGAAATCAAGCGGAATTGATGAGAGAGGTGTTATAAAACAGATACTGATGGCTCCATCTCATGCTGTGGTGCAACTTAAGTACCTCTCTAGGTGATCCATGGAGCATTCTATTTTTCCTTTGACTTGTCCTCAGGAGGGTGGGTTTCACTGCATCACATGAACACTAGCAGTCAACATCTGTAAAATGTGTACATCTGAATGAGCTAATCAGTGCGGATGAGAGATATCCAGACTTGTTTCACACGTACATGTGTTGGCCAAGTACACGTTAGGTAGACTTGTTACCAGCAAAGACCCTGCATACGTCACACAGACTCCATTGCATGCTCATGGTAGCTCTTATTTTGTGACTCTTCTGTGGCAGGATGAACGTGTTGCAAACCGAGGGGGAGAGACTGCATGAGCAAGCTTTGTCATCCTACGCCCACGGAAACTTTGCTCAAGCAAAATTATTGCTGGAGAAGGTAAGGGTCGTTGTGGAATTGTTGTAGTCTCACCATCAGGATTTATCTTCCTTGTAGTTATTCTTCTGCGTCATTGTTGACATCTTGTCCCACTTTGAACAATGTTCACTAACAACTATTTTTTTAAACATCCAAACAAAGTTGGTTTTTTTCTGCTCTTTTAATCAGTCCTAAAATGGAGCATCACTTTTTTACTCTTGCAGGCCATAGCACTGGAGCCTTATAATGCTTCATTTCGAGAAACCAAAAACTCCTTTTGTCAAGCCAACCAGGGGCCCTACACATACGGTCACCACCAGACAGGCACAGGGCGCAGCTTCCTAGATGGAGAGCAACAGAAACAGCAGTACGGAAGAGGAACAGCCACCTCCTGGAACTCTTCATTAGCAAGGCAATCCTGGGACAGTGGGGGACCTCAGGGGAGCGCTACTTTCTTAAACGGAAACAACTACAAAGCCAGGAGTGTGAGAGGTCCATGGCCGCAGCAGCCCAGCGGAAATGCTGCCCAGTATTTCTCTAACACTGTAGCCGACAGCATGTTCAGCCCTTACTGGGGACGTTCAGAGGACTTCCAGAGTCTTGGCATGAACAGCCATTTTGGCGATCCTCGAGCTTCTCAGAGACAGACCAATGTCTCCCATACTGGTAGGACAAATGTTGGACCGCATTACACTAAAGCCAGTAATACCAGTCAGCAAGATGGCATGTGGGGAACATGGACTGATCCAGCGGCCGAATCAGATCCCAAACCGGAGATGTCTTGGGTGAACTCAGGCTACCAGCAGAGTGATATACCTTGGACGCCGGAGCCCCGCCGAGCAGCCTCTCTTCCCAACAATATCAGGTCGGGTGCCAATGGCAGCACTAGCCAGAGCAGCCTTCGGGGCTCCATGGCCAATTCAACAGAGAGGTTCAGCTCAAAGGGGCACCACGGACAGAGCTCCCCGCACACCTGGCGCTCAGAGGAGACGAGCAGCGAGACCAATTATGGCCTGGACAGCTTTGACGAGGTGTCAAACATGGACAAAGTGGAAGAGTGGATGGTCAAGAATGAAGCATCCGGAGTACCAAACCCTCCACCTGGCTTAAGTAAGCCCAGGAAGAACAAGAAGAAAAAGAAGAAGAAGATGCCAGCTGCCCCTAAACAGGAGAGTCCAGACACATCTTTGCAGACCGACAAAGATGTCTCTCAATACAGTGGTCGGTCATCGATCATTGAATGCCAGAACCCTGCAAGGACCAAGTCTGCTAGTGCAAGATCCTGTCAAAGTGATGAGACTAAGAGTGTGTCCAAAAATGCCTCATACCACAGCCCATCCTCAAAGCCAAGAACTGCACCTTTTACTGCTGAGTCTGTCATAAACAGCAATTCTGATAAACTTTCAAAGCATATTAATGATAATCCACACCACTCAAAGGGCTTTAAAGAGAAGGACAAGTCTTTCTTTGATCCAAAGAGGATATTTGTTTCATCAGACTTTGTCAGAACTTCACAGCCCAGTGGGTGTGCTGGTCAGCCGGATAGTTCAAAGCAAAGCAAAACAAAGTCTGCTGTGAGCAAGGGCGAATACAACACCTCAAGAAAGAGTGCCTTTTCAAGCAAGGGTAGGAGAGAAGGGGATGGTGTGAAGGCAACAGGAGGCAGTCCAGAGGACCTGACTAATGCAAGAACTACTGGATCCAGGGATCAAACGTACAGCTGTGATCCGCAAGAGACTGAAGCTGACGGGCTGGCAGATGATATGGAGAGGAGTAGGCTGGACAGCTCAGGCAGTCTAGGAAGCGAAGTGTCGGGAAGGATGACAAAAGAAGAGTGGGAAGAGATCATCAAGAGGATGTACGCACCACTTGGGATGCCCTCTAGTTCCCCTCAAGAGCACCCGGGCAGGGCCAACGGTGCCCCATCAGAGCCGACCTCATGGGAGCAAAGCCCTGCATTTCAGAACTGTGGCAGGAACTTTGTGATGCCTTCCAACACAGAAGCATGCGCTTTGGAAGGAGGCCTTCTGCCTGAGTCAGAAACAGTTCAGAAACTGTCAAAAATGAAGGCAGGAAGAGTGAATGCAGCAGAAAAAGGGTGCAGTGGTTCCAAGCAAGGGGCCTATGTTGATGTGAAGGCAACTCTAGGTGCTGGGATCCTGCAAAATAGCGTACCAGTTTGTCATGCAGATACGAGCATCAGGTTGACTTCTCCTGCTGGCAGACAATCGAAGATTCTCAGCAGTGAGAAATGCAAGACAACAGAATCTGCTCAGTCAGCCCAAGCCAGCACAAGCTGCCAAGTACCTCTCACCAAAGGTACTGGTCCGGTGCCTCAGAGGGAAAAGACCTCACCCGAAAATGTCAACAGCTCGTTTGCTAAACCTCTTGAGAAGCCTAAGGTGGAGGTCTCTTCGGCATCTTCAGTGATATCTGGACGTGATGCTACGTCGTCTAAAGGTACCAGTAAAAGCGCTTCCAACTTTTCTGCAGAACCTAAGGTGGAGGTCTGTTCAACAGGCTTGGTGACATCCAGTAAGGTAGCTTCAGGAGGAGATGATGTTTCCCCATTGAAAGGTACTACAAAACGTTCGCCTGAACCCAGGGTAGAGGTTTCATCGCAGCTTCCTTGAGGTCTGGTAGTCAGATGCAATTGGAATTGGTGTCAAACCATCCGGTAAGGTTGCTTCAAGAGGAGTTGATGTTTCCCCATCTAAAGGCATCAATAAAGGTTCAACAAAACGTTCGCCTGAACCCAGGGTAGAGGTTTCATCTGCAGCTTCCTTGAGGTCTGGCAGTTCAGATGCAATTGGAATTGGTGTCAAACCATCCGGTAAGGTTGCTTCAAGAGGAGTTGATGTTTCCCCATCTAAAGGTACAAATAAAGGTTCTACAAAACGTTCGCCTGAACCCAGGGTAGAGGTTTCATCAGCAGCTTCCTTGAGGTCTGGCAGTGCAGATGCAAGTGGAAGTGGTGTCAAACCTAAAGATCAAGAAGCATCGAGTAAAGGAAACAAGCAGGATGCAACAACCAAGTTGAAATCAGCACAACCTGCCAAGCCTTTTTGGGAGCCTTCAAGGATATTTGCTGCTCCTAAGAAGGACCAGGATGACAGGAAAGGGCAAGTAAGTGCTGGTGAGTCTTGTTCCCAGTCAAACAAGAAATTGGGAAACAAAATGCCCCTTGATCAACAAACAAGCAATGCGAAGAAAGATGTGACAAAAAAAGGATGCGATGCCAATTCGTCCAGTGATAAGGACAAATGGCCTTCTTCAACCTCTTCATCTGAAACGAAAGAGTTGCATTGTAATCCAAGGGCATCTGCCAGAGGAGCTGGTTGTAATTCGTCCACCCTCAAGCCGAGTGATAACTCAACATCCAAGAGAATCAGCCAAACAAAAGACCTGCCTCTGAATTCAGGTACAAGCTATTCCTATGTTGCCTGGCGGGACCAGAATGCAAAAAGAGCTATGGATGCTGTGAAGAAGTCTGACCCAGCAGCCTCAACAGAAACTGCCCATAATAGAACCTTTTCAAGTGCTGATTCCAAGAGTGGTAGACAATCTGATGCTGAGTCCGTTCAGAACCCGGGAGACAGACCGACAAAAGTGAATGTGTCACAGCATACATGCGAAGAACCTAGACTAAAATCTGAAGCAGTGACCTCCGAAGTTCCTTCAGAGAGTACATTTTCAACAAGAGGCCTAGGGAATAAAAAATCGCAATGTCCATCATCAGGCAGACATCCAGAACCAACACCAGATACAGCTTCCACCCATTCACAGGACTCGGGCTTGAACTTCAGAAGTGCTCCCAAAGACGACAGGAATCGGGATGGGTTTAGTAGAACTAGGGGTAGTTCCAACGAGGTGCCATCTGCAGAACCTGATGTAAGAGCAAAAGAGTCCAGCAAGCCACGGCCCATGGAGTCCAAGACGAGACCAGACTCAGGTGTGGCTGCCAATAGCCATCCACACCAGCAAAGACGAGCAGAGGGAAGCACCTCCAGGGCATCTCAACCTGGAAGGCCAGCAAGTGACTCCGCATCCAAGTCTTCCCGGCCAGGCACTGCTCAAGGTCCCAGACAACAGTCCTCAACTCGGGCTTCAGCAGCAAGGGCTGCCCCTTGTGCCCGAGAGGACGATGCTGGAACGAGACCTAAGGACAGAAAAAGAGAAGGGACGTCACCGGCGGGAGCAACAACAGACAATATTGACATCGAAGGTACAGAACCCTTTGGCACCATTTAGTAAAATTTCAAGCACACTGAGATTTCAGACGTAACGAAATTGAGAAAAGTGTTTAGTGTTTAAAGAGATGTTATTTTCTGCTGTATATTTGGGGAAAATGGTACAAAAAGGGAAAGTTGTCACCCAAATCGCTGCAAACTGTGTGGTATCCTTGCGTTTAGGAGTACTTTTTCTGAAATATGTGATGCTTAATACTTTCAAAATGCTCAGAAAGTTTCCAGAACCAGAAGAGTCACATGCAGCCAACGTTACGAGTGGCAATTCGGCCCCAAATTTCCCGCGCACAAATGTGTCCAAATGTCCCAAAACTCGTCCCAACTCTCGGAAAAACCCACATATAATAAACTATAATTTTTTCATGTCTCAAATGAAGATGTTGACCCTTGGTACAAGTGGACAAGAGCCATTGGTCGAGGCCTCTGGTGGGCACTGTGCTTTGCTGTCTTCCTGCTTCTCATACTCCTGGCCTGTCTGTACAGCACGTAAGTACCAATGTACAACTGCACTTGGTACACTCTAACAGTTGTGTTCTGACATTTAATTTCACAGTGTCACAACTGCTTATTAAAAGAATTGAATAGTGGCAGCAGCATGGTGTGCCAAAGGTTCATCCATTTTTCTGTCCTTTTCACGAGCTTACAAAGCATAGGTTAGGAGGGAAGGATTTACAGCCTATGTACGCTTTCATATACTCGGGGAAAAAGTTGATCAGCCATCATCCTTGTATTGCATACACTTTTAGTTGGGGAGGGAGGACCAGAGGAAAGAGGCCATATTTGTATTGGCAAAAATGGTTACCCTCTGACTTCTTGTACTTCTTTTTCAAATAGAGATCCGTGCAACTGTTTTAATTTGAAACTTGTGCCTGTCTCTCCACACTGTGCCCTCACTGTATTCATTATTACATGTACTTCAAGGTTAGCCATTATTAAGAATTTGGATTTGTAAAGGATTTTATGTACAAGTGCTGGCTTTGGAAAAATTGGGTCTTGTTCCCTATGTTCAAGGCTTATCGTACAATTATTTATCCATATTTACAAAGGTACCGATTTGAAAGTATGAAAATGCACGTCTCATTGAATTGAAAGTGTTGCTTAAATATTCGATTTGTCACGGAGTGTTGTTAGATGCCTTATTGAGACTTCACTTTTCCCCTCCACCCAGACTTAAGGTAGGCATAAAGTACAGCTGGCACATACTGCGAGAGCTGGTAAAACTCCTTCAAGAAAACTGGCACAGTGGAAGGGCATATCAAGGAACCTCTGGGGGTCAAGGGTCACGGGGGTCATCCAGCCATGGGAACCGTAGCCGGGCACCAGCTGAACCCACGAGGAGCATTGATATACCAACGTCAGGTAAAGTGGATTGTCATGCAGCAATTGCAAAGACCTGGATGTGACATACTTTTTGGGGGTGGAGGAGGAAGGCAGTGTTTAGATTTTTGCTCTCATGCATGGATGCAATACTAAGATGTACCGACATCTTCAGAATTTTGCTTCATATACGTATACCTGATGGAGCCTTTGTTTTTGTGTACATATGTGATGATTCCTTTCACCTTGAGGGCTTCCCAAACCTTGGAGCCATCTCCATATCAGGCTTTGCCTGTGAAAATCAACCATTTATTGGCCAAGAATGTTATAAATACATAAAAATGGTTCATATTTATGGTATGTAGCATACAGTCCAATGAACTTCTGGGTGAAAACATGATTTTCTTAAACTTCCGAGTCAGTGGGATAAAAATTAGTTGACGATTGAGATGAAGCCAGGCTTTGGAAACTCCTGTGCAAAGATCCCACTGAGCTGTATGTTCATGAAAGTAAACTCTAAGGTGTACATACTGTACATGAAAGCCAACTTTTTACCAAGGTTTATTTGCACAGAAGTATGAACGTAATGCCAGTGGAAAAAAAAAAGTTATTGCTGTGTTGTATACAGGTGTTTGTAGTGTAGACTGTTTTTTCTGGTGTTCACGTGTTGGGTTTCTGTGCATAACTGTGAGAGTAGAAGTAGAAGTAACATCACAATGCCTCTATGTTTGAAATCATTTGCCATTGTACAGTGTATAAAAATTGTGGAATTGATTGGCTATTAAAGAATTGGTCAGGTGGCTTATTGCAAATGCTTGCTCCAATAGCAATGCACATAAATATCCTAATGTGCAAAGCATACAGAATTCAAGCATGTTAGTTGTCAAGCTAAGAAACTTATTGTGTCTTTCTCACTGAATAGTTGTTGATATTCCTTAACTTCCTGCTGTCATAAAAATGACTTTACCTCAAATGCAGATCCCTTCGGGTGTGCAAAACAACACGGTAGACTACAGGTAGACAGAAATTCATTTGGTACCCGTGACTAACCAGCAGTCTTGCAGCAGGTGCAAAAGTCTGGTGGAGTTTCTTGCAGTGGGTAATCAAGAGTAGCTGAACAAACTGCCTGTGTTGAGAGAGTGGTAGCTGGTCCCATTGAACAGTGCCACTGTTAGATCCTATATTGGTTTGCAGCCACAGACTCACACGCCGTCTGGCCATAGGGACAACTGACCTATGGATCTCAATGCCCTGGACAGGGAAACCACCATGACAATGATGTTAACTGACGCATCTGGCAAGGTCTCTTGTAAAAATACCCTGGATGGTTAGGGTTAAAAGGGTCACTGTATGAATTGCATTGTAACTGCCTCAATCTCAAATCTCGTTATAGGGGGCGAAGCCATCAAGAGATTGCTACGCTGTAACCGAGACAATCCCTATGAAGTGCTGGGCGTGAGCTCAGAGGCCAGCGAAGACGACATCAAGAAATATTACCGGAGGCAATGCATGCTAGTGCACCCTGACAAGGTAGGTCACCCCCCAATCCCTCTCCTGCCATAGCATTGCTTCTCCTGCTGTAGCATTGATATATTCCAAGTGCAAGGGTTACAACTTCCCATTGATCCTCTGATTACTGAATGGGGATTCTGTGTGCAATTTTTGTCTCTGCTCTGGCTTCTTCTCAGACTCCACCGAGAAATTTTACAACTAATTGAGACTTCTACTAATCTTACCTCTTATGAGACTGTTAGACAGTTTGGGTCACGGGGAATGGAGCTGCGTCGAGTTTGAGTGTCTCAAGTGTGGACAAATTCCTAAAACTGAAGCCAAAGACAGACAGAGCCACAGTTTGGATAACACCCATTTATATCAACTTTCCAGTGAAAGTGGGCAAACAGCACTGTCTTAGTAACCTATAGAAACTAACCAGATCAAAGCTGTAACATCTAGACTGGTCCTTGCCCTTTCTTTTCCTTTTTATACAAAGAGACAAGGAACCCATCTTGTCCACTTGTGACATTTGAAGAAACATGCCTTCCTCGGTACTCATTCTGATATGTATTAAAACAAATGAGAACAACACACAGGAACCAAGAAAATGTTTGTCGTCAGCCATCGATGTAGATTTTATCTCCCTTTCATCACCGTCTTTTCCTTAATCTTGAGCACCATTAGCAGTCCAAATAGTTTTACTGTTGACATCAAAAGAAAATAATCCAAACTTTAGTCTAAGATTTGCCATTTAATGTTTGACAATAGAAAATGCTGCTGCATTGAGCTGGATGATCTCTGCTCACGAGACTTCATTCGTGAAACTCAAGCCTTGAGCTCAAGACAGAACCAAAAGTGAAATTTTGAAAATGCCCCAGTTGTCATGCCACCCAGCCCCCTTGTCAGCACGCACTCGAGTCCAAATAGAGCAATTTTTGTAGATCCTGTCATGTTCGTATTAGGGATTGTGTGCTACAGTGAGTCAGCTGTTCCATTAATCATAGGAATCCCTTTTAAAGTGCAGCTGATTACTGTTGGGAATTCTTTCTTACTTCACCCAGAACGACCTTCCTGCTGCTAGTGAGGCCTTTCAAATCCTCCAAAAGGCGTATGAGACTCTGACCGATCCCGTAAGTCCAACAGTTCAGATTTTTTACATAACTGCTGAGATCGAACTGTTGCCAAACAAAAATTCCTGTGTACAGCTGTCAGTGATATGCAAGTGCATCTTTTTATGGTATGAAACCAGTTATACCTTTCGGTACCAAGCAGTATTTTTCTTTCTTTTTAGGGATGTGTAAGCCGTGTCCAAATCTTGTGTCTAAGGCTTGGTCTAGGTCTTTGCCATTGCAAATATGCTGGGACACAACAATAGTCACAGGTGTAGGTACTCTGTAATTAGCCATGAAAATGTTTTGGATCAAAGGGGTAACAGTTTACTTTAAATGTACCTCTGAGCCAGTGAGTTAAATTCTTTCATATTAGGGTTTGTTGAATTTACACTTTACAGGGAAGTAATAAATCTCAGATTGAATTAACAATTGACATCCGGAACAGGTTTTCTCCCAAAAAGTGCTTATTTTGAAAGAGAACAAGCTTTTAGGAGAAAAATGATTGCTGCTAGAAGTTGTTCGGTGAATATACTTAAGAATTTCTTATTGGATCTTGTATACCTTTAGGTCAAACGAAGAGAATTTGAGATGGAAAGCCAGCACGCCCACTTCGACGAAGAGGTAGGTGAAGCTTTCTTAAAATAAATATTGTTTTGGTGACAGAGGTTTGTTTAGAGTGAGAAATGAATTACACCTTTCCTCTGAATGAAGGGACGCACAGGTCATTAGCTCTTGTCTGGTTTTTCCTTTATTCTCACTACAGATGGAAGACTTGATGAAGAAAATGGAAGAGAAAATGGAAGAGGTGATTACTTTCCATAAGAAAGCGTGTATTTAAACGGCCAGTTAAAAGATTAAATGTTGCATTGTTTTCACTTTGGGAGCTGTTGATGCATTTGTACTTCTGTAGATCTATACTTAATGTACTTAGAGCTAGCTGTCACGCTGTCGTTTATTTGAAAAACAGTATTAGTTCTTTAAACGAGTTCCTAAACAAGCCGTCTACCTAGGTAAACTTAGGAAAGAGAGGTTCTGACAAGTAATTCAATGAAATAAGTGATCCAGAGGGCGTGGCATTCATGCATTTTATTATTTTTTCCTGCAGTTCAGAATCCTTTGATTGATTTGAAGTGTGGAATTTAGGGAAAGGGGAGGGGACCCCTTAGGTCTTAAACCTTGTCACACAGACAGATGATACTGACATTTATCATATTTACCTGGTCAGGTTCTGAATACGCTGAGCTGCGATGTTTGTGGTGGCAAGCACCGTCGCTACGAGACCAACAGAGATCCGTACTCTGCACGCTACTGCAGCCGGCACGGCTTCAGACACCCCGCACATGAAGTGAGTTGCTCATCACTCCTGTCACTCGTAGTTTGGGGATCCTTGCGTGAATAAGAGGAAGCACTTTTAAACCAGATAATGGTCTCATAACATGAAATGCTTATCAGCCAGCCCTTGGCATAGAACACACATATACATGAGCAGTTTTGCAGTAAATTTGGAGTTTTTCCAATTCACCAGTTTTTCTGTATCTCCACTTCTGAGAGGGACTCCTGCATCCAGGAAATAGGTCCTGAAAGATGGAAACAGAATCTTCTGTCAGAATTTCAGTCATTGCCATTATATTATAATTCCATGCGGGGTCAACTTAACTTGTCTATTGACTCATCTTTGCAATTGAGCCGGGTGTTTATACTGAGGGGAATAAGACCTGTGATTCCTTTGAAAACTCTGTGCAGTGTGAGAGCGTTCTGTTTTTGTATATCCAGGGTGATGTGTGGGTAGAAACGTCACATTTGGGATTCAAGTGGCACTTCTACGCAATGATGGAAGATAAGATATTCGACATCACGGAATGGGCAGTCTGTCAGGTAAAAAGAAACCTTTCAAAATTTCTTAGAAATGCAAAACCCCAAAGCAGCAAGTTAAAAGTAGGAGAATGCTTGCAACAGCAAGATCGCTCGCGTACATTGTCTAAACCTTCATATAGCGGGTGATGTATTGTGGTCAGCTCTGTCATTTGTTTTTGCACTACCCCCATCTATGTTCAATATGCGTTCTGATCTGGATCAGGGGTGTTTTTTGCTTAACAATGACGGTCCTTTTGTGGGGAGTCGCCATATGTATCCACAGGTTTATGCGCAACCAATCTGTGTTTGGACGTGTGGTCTCCGTGTCTTTGCCAGGCACGCATATCAGACCTGTTAAAAAACTCTCCCACCAGCCTCACTATCTCTTCTTTGTCGGTGTGGGTGCATTCCACCTTTGTTCAAGAAGCTGAAGATAATGGCCTGGCTGGGACGTGGAGGAAACTCGGCTTGCCCACTGGCCCTTGATGAGGGCACTGACAAATGACCAGTCCCACAAAACTCATGCACAGCCTCTTTCACAGAAGTTTGTGAAAGAGATACAAGGATAAAAACAACTGTGTGTAACTGTTAACCACTGCTATCACACTCATGCAGTCCCTGGTCATAATATGGACAAAATCGATCCTCAAAGGAATGACCAGTCCCAAGCGTGGCTTCTTCGTGTTGGAAATGTTGCTCCTTGGCAACGCCTCAGAGTTTTGAAAAATCTTAGGTGCCAGTGAGAATTACCATTCAAATATTGTAATTCATAATAATGTATTGTAGCTCTATTTCCAAAGCTGGCCAGTGTCTATCTTTTTGGGAGTTGGCCTCTGAAGCCAAAAATTATAACTTCCACAAACAGTCACGTCAAGTGAAATCCTTTTTTTCCCCCTTGTCATGTTGTGCCACAGGATATGAAGTACATGGAACCCAATTCATGTGAGGTGCGTTACCGCGTGGGGACCCAACGCAGCCGCAGTGCCCCCCGCCAACGAGCCCCACCCCCTGGCGCTCACGGCTTCACCAACCATCACAGCCACCATCGGGGACAGGAATTCAATGACGATATGGCGTGAGTGATGGCAACTTTTTACCACATAGTCAGTACTGTGAATACTGTACTCGTCCCCAAACTTGCATTGGGCTCAAATTAGTCAAAGCAGGTTGAGTGTGTGGGGAGCCTGAAGCTTCCATAGGCCATGGACGTACCTTGTAACGAGTATTGCCGGGTGAGATTAGGAGTTTCCAAAAAGCAAGATGCAGCAAGATTTGTTGCATAGATCTTGAATGAATGGCCTCCTAGGGTCAGTATTTGTCTTATTTAAGTCTAACTTTCTGAAGGACTGAAAGGTCAGTGTTTTCGGCTGAAAATGACACCACTCCAGGGACAAGTGCCATATGAAATACTGCCGCCAGCCAAACGGTTATCAGACAACACAACCAGCATTTGCTGTTGTAAAGACGTCATCAAAATTACCTGTGAAAAAGAACTAACAAAATGAAACCAAAATTTGACAGCACCTCTGTATATGTAACAAGGTGTTGCTGATGATGGTAATTTTGGGAAACTGCAGAAGGGAACAAACAAACAAACAAACAAACAAACACCCCAACACCCCAACAAACAAACAAACACCCCAACACCCCAACAAACAAACAAACATACACCCCAACAACCCCCCCAACAAACAAACAAACACCCCAACAAACACCCCAACAAACAAACAAACACCCCAACAAACGACCAACCGACCAAACCGACCAAACATTCATATCAAGGTAGGGAGTAAGTGAAAAACAGTCTAAAATAGATAATGAATGAAAAATCTTGAACTTAAGTGAATGATCAAGTGGGCGTTCCTTCGAGGAGTCAAGTAGGCCAGCTGCAAAGTATTCCGCACCGTTCATGCAGTCTGTCTTTTTTGATCCGACAGTGAAGAAATGCTGAAAGAGTTCTTGCGTCAGTTCCATCAGGGCGATCCGAGAGGGGGCAGAGCTGGAGGCCCGAGCTACGGGGGAGGGGATGCCGGCAGCCAAGAAAGAGGCAAGAAGCACAAGAAACATCGGAAGAAGAAACGATAGTTGCATAAGTAAAAAATCAAATAGATCTCCCCTCCCCCTGTTTTTGGGCAAGTGGGGTTTGACCTGCAGTATCTAAGGTCTGCATTTCACAATAGCTTTGTCTCCATCAATACTTTGAGACAAGCAATCTTGTTTATTCTCTAATTTCTTATTCACTTAAAGCCATCGCTGGTCTTGATGAAAGTGCAGAAAAATTACTTGCAAGCATGGCGGTTTTATTTGTTGAAGAGATATTCTAAAAGATGGTTAACTATCAGAGTAAATTGGTTTATATTTATTTTGCTGATAAATATGTGTAATTATATGTAGATATGACAACCTTTTGGATGATATAGAATGACATCGTAGCCTAGGCGATGGAGAATTAAATGTTGTGTCATGTTTAATGGGACTGAAAGCACACGTCTTTCTGCCCTAGTCTGGAGTTTAATGTGAGCATAAACGTTTTACTAAAAAATGTTGTATATGTAAGTCAAAGTTATAAGTGACACCGGTGAACTCTGAACAGCAAATGTCATTACAGTCGATGTCTCGTCCAGGAGAGCTCCTCAAGCTTTCACCATGTACGTTCACGGACAGCTCCAAGCAAGACAGCATTTTGGATTAAACATTTCATCAATCAACCGCAAAAGTCCAACTGTTTGTCAATGAGAGTAACAGGCTGTGTAAAACATGTTGGTGACATCTTTCATTTGCCATTCTCCTGGGAATTGTCTCAGTTTATGCTTTGATGTAATTTACATTTTTGATGGTACCCTTCATTAACCCTAATAGTCCCCAATCCTTCAATTTCATTATGATTTTACACACACGGTAAGGGGTATGGTTAAGAAGGGGAGGACGAGAACCTGTCTTCCCTTTCTCATCAAATCTTTCTAAATTTAACTTTATTTCATTTTGTTAAAGATTTTGGTGGTTTTTTCCCTTAGAAGGAGAAAAAGATCACAGAATTTCCAAACGTCCCACATTCATACATAGTGGAGTTACAGGTGTAGTTCTGTTGGTCTGCCTTGGTGTTAAACTAAATTCTATGTCAAGCACCTTTTTTGTTACCTGTTTTCCCAGAGTTATGTTTAAATTGGGTAAAAATGCTGTAAACTGCTTTTTACCAACTTGTAAATCCAGTAACCCCAATGTTACCGCTAAGCAATTTTGGAAACATCTGGACCAGCCATGCAGTTGGATGTAATTGAAGCTAAGAATATTAAAGGGGAAAATACAGGAAATATGAGGAAATTGTTTGTGTCGCTGATAAAAAATATGAAAAGTCATGTCCAAGAAATTGCTGTTCACATGAATCCCTAATTCCTCCCCATCCAAATTTCGTTGTGAGGCTGAAGTTTGCTGTTTTGTGAGTGAACAGGTCTACCTGATCCCCGGTAGTGCCCCCCTTCCTTCCAGCCTCAGTGTCTGAGTACCAAATGTTATGCAAGATTATTTTGTCACTTTGGTCGGGCAGCCAAATCAATGCACAGGCAGTGGCCCGCTGAAAGACAGCCCAACCCTTTATGTAGCTTGGCTCGTCATAGAATCCCAGGACATTCAGTGAAAATCCAAGGTGCCACTTCGGCCGCATGTAATATTTTCAAGCAGATTGGGCAGGACATTAATTTTACCCCCCAGTGGAAATAGTTCACTGTTGGACTTTGTCAGGTTAAGTGGCTTTAAATCAGGGCAGCATACTAGAGAGGGCTCAGGTTCTATATCAACAGCTCTTTCAGTTAAAAAGCCTTGTTAAATTATCCACATTTTCATGGTTTTGCTAGGTTCCCAGGAAAACCCCCCAAAATCCAAGAAGTGTTTAATTAAAGTGTTAACGTTATAGTTCCTTGGATCCTTCAGCCTTCTCTCTGTGTGAAACAAAACTTTGAGAATTTTCCTGTATCATTAACATTTCATATTTTGTTAACACTTCTAGGAAATATAAACAAACTTAAGACTGTTGTGAAGTTTAAGCTTTGTTGGCACTTTACCTTTCAGGTAAAAAAATGGAGACTCTTTCCTTGACTTTTTGATACAAAACCGTGGACCAATCTCATGTAATTGTTAAGGTTAGCAATCAAAATGCTGTTAACGATGCCTGTAAGACCCCCCCCCGCGATCTATCCTTGAAGGAGTGCAGTATGCGTCTTTGCAGGACAATGTTCAGCTTTCACATGTAAGCATGTCTCTGGAAGCTGCCTGACTTAAATTTGCCTTTGAGAAATCCATTGTGAGAATCCATTGTGAAACCAAGTTTTGTGTCTTGCCAAGGTCAAAATTTTGAAACGAAAAGATCCCATTTAGCACATTGTTTAAAATTACAATCAGATATTGGTCTTGATCTGAATATCAATATGTTAAATGGATGTCATTCCCAGGGGCTCGGATTTACATCATGCTGATTTTTGTTTTCTGAAGTTACTCTGTAATTTTGCAGATAACAATAAGTTATTCTTTTTGACATTTTGCAGAGTAGATAATGTGTTCACATGGTTTTAACAAAACCTGTTTAACCACTTGCTGCCGGGTGGATTTTTCTTGAGCAAGACAAGATTTTCAGTTTTCAAAATTCTTCAAAAATTCATCCTTTTATTTAATGGCCGTTTATACCAAAATGAAGGACTCTTTGGGCACTACTCTAAAGCTGACAGGTAAAATTCATTGACTCCTGAATATTTCAGCCAGGCCTGCAGCCTTGGAAAAAGAGCCCAGATTGTGCGGTGTTACGTAAGATTCTTTTGTTCCCGAAACTGCTGACCTCTTTTCAATAGGGGCCAGATTAGCGTGCAGTGGTACTGTTGGCTCATCGCTGCGGCGGTGGTGATCCGCTCGTTCTAAATGCCTCAAACCGTGGTATACTGTTTCAAAACAAGGCTGGATTATCTCCACTATTGAGAGCAAAAAAAAGTCGGTAATGCCCAGCAGCTCATTCTTTTGTGCTGAGCACTGTCTTTTGTTATAAGGCCCAACTGTTTTGTCCCAGTTCCGGACTCCCTGGCTCTGCATATAAAGTCTATGTACTTGAAAATGGGTCTCCTGGCAGGGAGTGGTTAAGGGCATTATTGCAGATGGCTTAATATGGCTATGAACCCAAAAGACATTGTTGCTGCGAAAACACAGCTTCCTGTGCACAGACAAGTCACAGCTTCAGGGAAAACAATTTATTTGTAAATATGCATGAAAAACAAACAAACAATCACCAACATAACTTAGAAGTTACTTGGAAGAGTGTAACATCTTGGTTTGGCAAGTTGGTATGCATCTTTGTCTGTGGGTCAATAGTTGCTTGAGTTGCCGTCCATGTTCATGCAGCCATGTCTGTCGTTTTTAATATTTTCTTGCGAGACGATAAGACGCCATGATTTGGTTGCCTACCGGTAATACTTGCTCTGAACTGATTCTTTTCTTACAAAATTGTATGCCTACATTTGATTGTGTTGGGATGGTGAAGGGGGCTGAGTGAGTTGGAGATGTGGTAATGTTAGTCTTTCAGAGCCTGATCTTGGTAGAACATTCTGATGGCATGGGTGTGTTCAGATATTGTGCCTAATGGCCATGTCTGCCTAGACCTAGCCCCAGATGCCAAGGCTAGGGAGCTGAGTCGCAAAGAAACTTGCTAAACATTTGCTCAACAAAAAGCTGGCAACCAGGCAAAATGACATGCCCTGTATGTTGCTTGTAATCAGAGATGGCAAGTTTTTAATACTGGTTTCTGCTTAGCACTTTGTGAAATTAGGCCTGAGTGCTTACTTCATGGAGTTGGCAGAAAAGTTTGGCTAGTCTGAAGCATGTTTTGTGCATGTGCATGGAAACTGCTGTTGTGTCTCTATTTTAACCCATGAGCAACGATAAATTTTGATTGACTGGTGACACTAAGACCATGGCAATCCTGGCTGGTTTGGGAAGTAGCAGGCAGGTTGGTCAATGGCTGTAGAATTAAATGGTTGGTTAAGATTTCTCCTCTGAAGTTGAGCATGTTTTGTACTGTGCATACTGCTTGCAGCTTCTGTGAAATAGACGGAGGTGTTTCCAGTAGGAAGCTACTGAGCATGTCACAAGATCGGGCCTAGGATTTGTAAGCCGGCCAATCATGGGCAACAATGCCCCGCTCTCTCTCTTTTTTTTTTTCATTTTGCAAATTTTTTAAGAGATTCATTTTAATCCAACTCAGGTATGTAATAATACCACAGCATTACTTCCTATGAATTCCACGTACATTGCTAAGTAACGGATGGAAATTCATGACTTTTTGTAGCAGTTGTTACATGTGTCATACTGAAAGTTGGTTTGTCTGTGATGTCTATAGAGGCTTTGCACGGTAGCCATCTTGCAGGGCACTTCATTTCTTCAACAGGGGAATCTCCTTTGTGTATACCCTCTGGAACAAAAGCACTGGTCTGCAAGATGGTAGCCATGCAAACCGTCTGTAAGTTCAAGTTGGTCAAGAGTATTTCCTGGAGCTCATTTCTCTCAGTTTCTATTTGCCAGTTGTCAAGAGATCCATTTGTACATACATTTCTTTCATATTCAGACTGTTTTTGCCATAGAGGACAATACTAGCCATGGTGTTTTTAGGCCTACCTGTCAGTGGATGGGATGAATCTTAAATTATGAGAAAAATGGGAAAGGGGTGATCAGAATACAGCAATGAAAAATGACTGTTGCCCATTGGTGTTCTGGTTCTGGAGTTGAAGTCTTTTACTTAAAAATAATGCCTTTTGAAAAGATTTTGGAGACTGATGACCAGCACAGTAGGGTTTATTGCAACTCCAGTCCATACATTTCGTGAAGAAATAGTGCTTTAAATCCTGAAATGCCCCGGAAATATAATCAATCCTCTGCCGTGACATCCTTCTTTTAGTTTCACATTTCACAAGGTCCATCTGGTCGCACACAACCATAAATTCACATCACTCTCGATAATACAGTGGTAATTTTTCTCTTGAACTGTAGACCATTCAAGTATTGGGTCACTCAGGTGGATAAGCCACCTTAACCAGTCTGAAGTACGTGGATTCAGACTTGGGTTGTTGTGATCCATTGTTTTAGGGCATGGCTATGGTCACTGGTATACTTGGTCACGCAAGACAACAAAAGAAAAAACTTAAATGCAGGATTTGTTTCCAGTTCCTGTGACAGGTCTTGTATTTGAAGGACAAACTTGCAGAAAGCAGAATGCAACACAAACAATGGATTCCCAAGATCTTTTTATTCTGTCGAAGGAAGAACATAATACATGTATATCAACAAAAATAACATTTGAATACCACATATTAGTATATACTATACAGCCACTTCTTAGATTATCATCTTTAAACAGAACACCAAAAAAAAAAAAAAAAACACCCAAAAAACTGTGAGCACATACACCAGCTGTCCCTTGGCACACTGCATAATGAACAATTTAAAATGTAAAATTCAAAGTTTTTAAAAATGAAAAGACTTTAACTCAGCAGCTGTATAGAAAGTGATACCTGGCAAAGAGATTTTGTTCTGATGTGATTATATCCATTTTATTAACTTGGAAATATTAAGGGGATGGTTGAAGAAAATTCCTGAGTTAAAGAAATAAAAATCTCTCACAGAAAACTGCACCAAAATGAGAAAAGGGGAGCATTATATGTATTCTTGCTTTAGCACTCGGAAGATTGGCTTCCAACAAAAATAAAAGTGTGGGCAACCATAAAAGAGGAGAAGATGCCAGCTCAACCAAAGAATCAAGTACAAGATATCAGTCTATTTGTCACATTTGGTAGAGAACAGTGGTCATTTTCATAGCACTGTTTAAGCAAAAATTTGTTTAAGCATGAAAAAACCTTGCTAAACAAATCAGGTTACCAGCCAAAACTTCTTGTGATGTATATTGTTTTGGAATGGCATTTACCTGTGTTTTGGTTAGAATGACAATCGCAGAGTTTGAGCTGGTAACCTTTGTTTATTAAGCAGGTTTTTTCGCGCCTAAGCAAATTCTGAGCTTAAGCAGCTGTATGAAATTGGCCCCAGCTTTTAAAAAACTCTGGGGATGACTGTGCTATTCATTCAAATATGAAAACATACATCTTGCATACAGAGTGCATAGCTGGACATTAAGTACATTTTATGGCATATTTGCCCTCAAATTATTTTCTAAATTGTATATCATCTTGATTTCATGCTGTCACAAATGACTTCAACACCAAACTTTATATCACAGGAGAACTTTATGATCTGAACTTCAACCAGAAGCAGATGTTTATCACAAATGATCCAGTTTGGTACGTCAAAAAGGCAAAGCCATTCAAGAACAAAGCTCATGATATCACGCCAGCTCAATAGAAAATGCTGATCTCACACCTGCCTAATGCTGTTCTCCAGTGACCTATAATATGCTTCATATTAAGCATGTTGTTGTCTGAACACCGAACTCGATCACAGTAAACTTGCTCACCAAGTCTGCTTTTTGATGTTTACCCCCCTCTCCAGTCAAATGTGGCCCTTAAGCTCAGCTGCAGTACCAACATATACGTGTGAAACCATTTGAAAATAAGCAAAACCAATGCAAATTAAAAATAAACACAAGGACCCAATGCAGAAGTTTTCCTGTGACACATACACCCGTAACCTTCTCAAGGAACGACTTGAGATACCAACTTAAGAAACACCCCCAAAAGCCAACACGTTAAAGTTTATGTCAGTTCTGGTAAAATATTGCCTCCGGTGGATTTTCCCCGGTGACCAAATTTTAAAAAGCCAGTGCTGCCTCCACTCTTTGCACCAACTGATCCCCCAAAAGAAGCCTTTTCATTAAGCACGGCTGCTAGGCACAGAAACTGAATTCGCACCTCTACCGTATGAATTCGATGTAAGAGAGAGGAAATTCAGTTTTACCATGCGATGACACTTTGAACAAACCATATCTGACGTAATGCTGAAAACAGTAACACGGCAAATCCTTTGGGGGTACCATGCACCGATCACGCGCTGATGGATGAACCTGAACCAATATATACAACACATAATAGAGCACACAATGGGATAACATGTTCCAGCAGGCTTAGGCACAGTTACGTGTCCTTGCTTTCTGAAATTTTGATTAAAACCCAATATCCCCTAAATCCATAGAAATAATTACATATTAGTGTTTATACACAATGACACCAATACAATGTTTTCAGTTACTAACGCATACACAAATTCGTAACAACTAATGCTATGAACATTCCTTTAAATGACATACATCTTGAAAGCCATGCTGAAATAATTTTTTTCCCCAGCACCAACTGGATTCTCAATGAAAGCCATGTCCAAAAGTAACAGCCACGGCTGGAAATAATACACATATGTGTGTTGCTCCTGGCCACAGTCACTTCATTACGGCACAGCCACATTCTCCATCTGGCCCCAGTCAAAGCAAGTTAAAAAAATATTTATTGCACACCCAATGGTTAAATATCACGATAATTACCGGAAACTGCACTAAACACCCTAACATAAATTCATCATTAGTAGAAGACTAAACTGCATGCACTGACACCAAGTACTTGTTCAAAATTATTTACAATAAGAAAAAACAGTTTGGGTCAGTAGGAAACAATACTAATATGAATGTGTGCATCGTAAGGCATTAGAATCCAGAACTAAGCAACTGAGCAAATTTTGTTTCATTAATATATTGAATAATTCAAGCCTTAATGCAATCTGAATCACTCCTATGAGGCAGACTAGTTGATGAACAAACTTGACAGTAACAGCCTATAAAATCTGTGGCTGGTAACATTGTCATTCAAATAATCTGAAAGAAGATTGCTTTTCAGTACATTAAAAAAAAAATCACAATATAAAAGGATACAAAAATATACATCTGTCTTTCATACATGGGCTGTATATATCAAAACGTATGTCCACTTACACCAAGCGAACTTAGAGCAAGAAACAATACTGGAAATTGTTGGGCATGGACACAAGAATCTGGAAGCATTAGGCGTTGTGTTTCTCTTTGTAGGCTCAAGTCTGCGGAAGAACTCAAAAAATCATGAACATTTGTTCAGCAAGGCTTTTTATTAAGTAGCTGCCATCACAGCAGGACAACATGCCTTGCTGTTATCGAAATGAAAGTTTTCACACGGAATAACAGATGATACAATGCCTCATTTGGATATAAAGCCACAGATAATTCCCAGGGAGCCAGCTGATGAAAATAACTCTACACTACCCTTCAATTTGAAGCATCTGGGAGGGTTTGGATTAAAACAACTACATCAACAACACTGCAGTACGAGGTATACCGTGATGATTATACATGCAAGTAACTGTCAATTCTATGAGTAACAAACTACACCACAGATACAAGAAAGCCAGCGTACACATTATAATCAAATCCTTATGAAAGAGCATAAGTACAAATGCACAAATTAAGGGAATTCATTTAAATATCTATTACGAATCGTCAATTTTAATTTCAAATCGAAAACGCTATTAATTCTAAAATCACTAGGCAAGATCACCGAAGAATTCCTTACCCTGCTAATTCTAAATCAAATGCCAATTTGCATCTTTTTTCTTTAACCACTCCCTGCCGGGGACCCTTTTTGAGCACGTAGGCTTTTTACACAGAGCCGGGGAAACGGAAATAGGACAAAGAGAACTCAGCCTTTAACAAAAGACCGTTCTCGGAACAAAAGAAAAGGCTGCTGGGCATTACCAACATTTTTTCACTCTCAATAGTGGCGATAATCCAGCCTTGTTTGGAAACAGTATACCATGGTTTGGGGCATTTAGAGCGAGTGGATTACCACCGGTGACAAAAGCACTCCACCACCCCAATAATGAGCACTCCACCACCCCAATAATGAGCCACACAGTACCGCTGCATGCTAATCTGTCCCCTACTGAAAAGAGGTCAGCAGCACACTGAGCCAGGTTCGTGAACAAAAGAAAGTTATATAACACCATACAATGTGGGCTCTTTTTACAAGGCTGCAGGCCTGGCTGAAATACTCAGGCGTCAATAGATTTTGTGTGTCAGACTAGAGTGTCCACCAGACTGTAATTCGTGTGGGTGTAAACGTCCATTTATTGAAATGATGAATTTTTGAAGAATTTTGAAAACTGATAATCTTGGAAAAGTCCAGATTATGTGTACTGCATTTTTCAAACCACCCGGCAGCAAGTGGTTAAACATACATTCATTGTCCTTTGCTTTGATTAAACTAAACTTACTTCAAACCTTACACCAACTTCATAACTCACACAAACTTCAAAGTGAAGTTTTTGTGAGAAAATGACAATAGTTAATTGACGATTAAAATTAGAAAACTGTTGTTTCAGGAGAATATAACTACTCTAGTTTAGGCTGATGGCGAATTCATTCTGATCAAGGAAGTTTGTACTCCATAACCACTTATTTACAAAGAACAAATTGAGAACCACATTCACAGAAAACATCACAAAAACCATGCAGGCAGCTTTGCAACATGCCAGACAACAGGTGTAATCAGCTTTTCAACCATGCTCCAAACGCGCTTTGCAACTGTTTGGCAAATGGGAACTTTTTTCTTTTCCTGAAATCCTGGAAAGAAATACATTCCAATACTTGTTTATGGCAAGGCAAATTCTGCATTGACCTGATTTGTACTTCCTGACAACACAGCACACCAAACTGTGACCCTCCCCCTTGAAAACGAGTGACAAGTCATCAGAGTCGCTTTTGAGCGACAGGCCTTCAAAAGAACCTTTCACCGTGCAAATCAATGAGGAACCATCAATATGTTGCACCCATGTAATGTCCATTTTGACACTTTTATCAAGAAGGCAGAATGAGTGACACGGAATGAGTCAAAACGGAGAGCTACGCTTGATCCTTCTAATGCCAAATTACCGAGAAAAAAGGCCTTAAGCTCATTTTCACTGAGTGAGTCACATCATTTTGCCACCTCATACTTCTGTTTAAAAACTTGGGAAAAACTCATGTCCTGAACAAAACTGTCCCCCTGATTCATATTCCATCAATTTCCACCAGGAGTAAGACCATAAAACATGCTTTAAAATGTTTGCACAAATGACCCTAGATTTCATTTAAAATGCAAGTAATTTTTTTTACATATAAAAATGTGACATCTGAAGTCCATAACTAACAGCTCCATTTACACGTGCTTCTAAACTATACATGGTATAAAACATCTTCAAAGACACACTAAAAATTCGAACAATAAATAATTTGTCTTGCTGAATTGAATCCATCATTTCTTCGTTTAACTTTCAAACCACAGAAATCACCTCTGCTTATATATACACTAGTCCAGTGTCTTAGAACTTGAACCTGCTGAATACTTGTTTTCCCATTTTCACAGGACGTTAAGGTTAAAACGTGTCAGAATGGGTAGATCAAGGCTAGAAATGATTGGTTGAGGTCCATCTTTGTAAAAAAATCCCTCTACCCATAATGAAGATGGAGCTTTCAAAAGCAAAGACGAGACACCAGTCTTCAAAAAAGTCCCTTTTGAATTTAGTACAAAACATTGCGCCAAGTGAAAATATGCAATCAGAAAGAGACTATGAGACATGGAAGACCAGTTTATTGATTTCGAATTGGGCATATACGTGTGTTCAGTTATCTACTAAATTCAAGTCCCAACTAGATGTAATTTGAAAATGGTGTACACAAAAAGGAGAATTTATGAAAATACAGGCTCCTCCATTGTGTTCATGTTGGGGCAGTTCCTAAATCATCGACAAGGCACAGAAAGTTGTTGCTTGTTTGAGAAATTAAAAGTTGTTCTGTATTCCATCATTGGAAACTTTCAAAACTAGACATGCTGAATTCTTCACCGTCAAAAAATGCATTCTGCATATATATGTTAGGGTGTACAAATTAAAAATACCAGTAAGATTTCAAAATATGGATATGGAAATCTCTTCTTCACATGGTTGAAAATTTGTCCAGCGATTTGGCCGTCTTCAAAGCGCCAACTTTTTTAGTAGGACTGGCCTGTTGTTTGTTTCCGATGCTGGACGTTCTCTGCGACCCAGCTGTTGCACTGGTACCTCGCAGACCAGCACTGGGGCTCTTGATCTTGCTGCCCCGGCCCGATGAACGCAGAGAGGACAAGCTCCCCCTTGGGGAGGGGCTCTTGTCGGATGCAGATGCGCTGCTCCGGTGCAGCGCCGAGGAGGAGGTGCTGAGCTGTGAGGGCCTCGTCTGGGGGAAGTGGCGGAACTTAGGGATGCGGGAGTTGGGGCTGACCGAACGGCTGCGGGTGGAAGCTTGGGAGGCCCCTGACTGGTGGCTGAGATCACTTAGGGAACTGGCAGTCGACAGAGACGGGGATGGACAAGGGGAGAGGCTGGAGAGTGATGGACTAGGCGACGGACTTGGTGACACTGGCCCCGGGGAAATGGCAGTTTGTGACAGGCTGTGTGGGAAAGGTTGGAATATTGATTACTGATAGAACACACATCAGAAATGCATGTTGCAATTCAATCTGCAAAATCCAACGTCTGAACATAAAATCCAAGATCCACTCAGCAGCAAACTTATTTGCTTAAGCAAAACTGATAGGGCACCAGCAACAGGCAGAATACATACTTTGACATTTTGACTGGTGACCCATTCTTTGCTACATGTAGGCAAATACAGTCTTTGTTTGGCAGTTTTCTGCACTTAACATTTTGGGAGACTTAAGAAGTATCCTAGCACAAAATGAGTGAGGGTTATTAACCATATGCATTAACCAACCATATCACACTGTTAAAATTCATTGCACCACTGGTGGGTATCAGTTAATGACTGCAAGGCTTCTTCAAAACTTGGGGCTCTTGAAGCATGGCGGACACAATAGGAGGGCGCTATTTAAAGTGGGTACATTTGGAGTAGACACAAAAATATTTTACCCAAACCAAATAGCGCCCTCCTATGGTGTCCACCATACCTCAAACAGGCTAATGGGGATGGCAACAATAAAGGAAAACCGCGAACAGCAAATCTTTTCGGAGAAAGAATAACAGTTGAGAGAAATCAGTCCTTTTAGAGAGTTTAGCAAATTGACTGTTCCTTGACATTCTGAATCAGAAGTACTGGTAGGATCCTTGATTATTCAAGTCAGAAAGGTCAACAGAGAGGTAAAATCATTGATGAAAATCTTCCATCAAAATGTTGGGCCAAGGAACCAGTCAATTGCTTTGACTCTGCGTCAACATGCTAAGTGAACACACAACATGAATAAAATCTAACACCAGTTTAATTAAAGGCTTAGATTACAGTATGTGAAATGTCTGTACATTAGCCAACTACTAGTACATGTTCAATCCTGGAAGATCTGGAAAGAGAGAATAACGATCTGTCTAAAAGTTCTAACAAAACTGGTCTTCCAACTCTTGGTCCACAAAATGAGAAGCTCACATGAAACTTCTTGCTACTGTCCAGTCTTATTTTGTTAATTTGGGGGCTGGATTAGGAAAAACAGACTGATGTACCTTTAAAGAACATTGGATTTATCAAACCTATATGTACATGCAAGGAGGACAGTTGGGCCAAACAGCTCTTTGGTATCAACTGTCCTTACAACTGAGAGGTCTCACACACAGCAGGTTTTATATCTGTCACAAAACCTGGAACAATAATGATGTCAATTTATCCAGGAACTTGATCAAGATGCCTGACATTATTATCCCTCCTCAATGGGCCCATAAAACATTCCTAAAACCATTTCAGTTCCCTGGGAAGTATAAAGCTCAATGCTGCCATCTCTGGCACAAATGACTACTCAAACAGGACAACCTTCTCTGCCCTCAAGGTACTACCCATTCACACCCCTGGGTGGAGAGAGGAAAGTGGGAGTAAAGCAACTTGCTGAAGGTCCTATCGTGTAACCAGCAGCACTGGACCCTAACCCACTAGGCCACATCCCTTCACGCCCCCACATGATGACTTATCCCAATGGAGACTATACAAATTGGAATGTGAAACCTCTCCACTGTCAGTGCCCATAACTACAGTAAAAAAACAAAACAAAACATTCACAGTGCGACAAATGTGCAAGGCAGAAAAAGCGGCAAATCAAACGCGATGGGAAATGATCAAAGTGTTGGAAAACACAACTGTGCAGAAAATCAGGGAAAAACCACAACCGTTTATTCCTCCACAAACCTGTATCTCTAACTTCCTGATCCTTTGAAGCTGGGACTAATCATCAGGGAAATAGGACAGCATGAAAAATGGGTTATCAAGGGAAATAGTCGGTAAATTAGCAATTGGAGTTAATGAATGTTAATAAGCAACAAGCTATGTCACGTGGCTGCCATGCTTGATGAATAATGTCTGTTTTCGTCACAATCATTGTTTGTTAACTTTTTAAAAAATGATTAACGAGTAGGAAATGATATGCGTGTATATGAAAAAGAAATGATGGTAACAGTAATGGTTAACATGCAGCAGCCATCTTGGACGTATTATCTAAGCTATGGCAGGCTTAAAAACTGTGGCACAATGTAAGTTTGAACTCTGTTTGCTTGAGTTAACAAAGTGAATTGTGCTAGAACCAATATGGTCAGGCCAAAGTTTACAAATGTAGGTAGTCATCCTTCGCCGTCAGTTACCACAATGCAACAAAATCCATGATTACATTTCATGTATGAAGTGCGTAAGTTTAATAAGGAAATGAAAATGTCTCCCTGAAATTCTCTAACATGCATGATGTTACGAAGTACAATTTGTATGTAATCGGTCATCACTATGAAGAAAAATGATGGACAGACATAGGTATACTTGGCTCAAATCTATAATTCTAGTCTTACAATGTGACAGTATTGTTAAGAGTAGTCTGTAACCTTCAGTGATTTGGGGTAGAGAACTTAACAAACATTTACTCTCTTTGGAGTTTTTAAATTCCTTTTTGCTTAGTCACTGATTTCGAGGAGAGACTTGGTTCATGTAACAAGGCCCTCACTGTTCTACAATTTCTTTGCCTGTTGCCCCTGAACTATTCAATGTATCCAATTGGAGGCCGCGATTGCAATATCCACTCATGAGGAGTGTAAATCTATTGTTGGGATGTGCTGCACTATGCACATGGCTGTGCTGTATCTCTTTACATGACATGGGGTAAATACCTGGCCCTTTAACACTGAAAATTTCCATGTCAGGACTGAGCGAAGGCACTTCACAATTTTACGTGCCACATGCCCACACAGGTGTACTTGACTCAAGTCACGCCCAATATAAGCTGAACTTTACTCACAGTCTGTTCAAAAAAATGCATTTACACATGAGGTATCAATTCAGCACATATTGCAGTTTGTGTTAATTGCAAAACTTTGCAAATAAACCTGACGACCCTTCAATGGATCGCATAAATAAGACTTCCCTCTACATGCAGATTTTAACATTCAAAATGGCTGCTGCAGCAATATCCCCAGTATCTAATGAACCACAATTTAAGAACCAACACCGAAACAGTATGAGGTTAATGACGAGAGTAAAATAGAGGTAAAATCATAAATCAGACTCACTTTATAAAGCTATAGGTATAGGTTGGGAATCTGTCCAGGGTTCAAAAACATGCGAGTTACAGTTCAAAAGTTTAAACTCAAAACAAATGCATTAAAATAAAAACTACTGTACTCAGCCAAAAAAGGTGAATGCTGCAAAAATTTGAAAACAAACTGATGCTTTTGCTGGCTGCTTGCATTTTACATTTTGTTTGATGCTGTTACGACAATTTTACTGTTTTACATGCAGATTACAAAGCACACTTTAGTATGATTGGCACAGTTTCAAACAACTTTTGAATCCAGAAAATCCAAAAAATAACAACTACCCCTTAAAATTACTGCAGATACGCATCTTTGAGCCATTATTCAATAACTTACCTTGGGGATGCACTTTGAGCTCTCCGTTTCTGTATTGGAGACAAAAGAAAAAAATATGGGTACAAAAGACTTATCCCTCCCCCCCAAAAAAAGAAAATAGGTTCGTGAAAATTTGACATGCAAATAATCTTGTGTTTGTGTATAACATCACTGATTCATAATTTGAAAATTCAGTAATTTCTTTCAACTGAAAATAGCTTACAGGGCTTCCGGACTGCTTGGCAAAGTTAAGCTGAGCGTACAGGAGAACGCCGATGTTCTTGTGGCCGGCCTCCATGGCAATTGAGAAGGCACTGCTGCCATCCTGAGGAAGATGGAGGTGTAAATAAGATCAACGTTAGAGTCACTCACTGTTTCAATGCAGGCTTTGGTGATGGACATGTACTTGTGACAGCTTCATGTCTGAGCTTCGCAAAACTGTGTCAAAGTTTTCACCCGTGTTCAATTCTTATTAGGGTTTTCTGGGAATCCGACAGGTGCATTGTCCAATTAAATGAACTGAAACACCTTAACGTCATTTGTCCATAATATGGCTTGCTGTAAATGCAGACAAACAATGCTGATTACGCATGAACACAGTCACAGGCCTACAAATAACACAGAGAACAGGAAAAGAAGCACTTTCAAATTTCTCACGATCGTTTATCTTAAGAATCACAGGGGTGGGACTTACATTATCCAGGAGTGTAGGGTCACATTGCGGATGGGCCAGAAGGCACTTGACGATCTCCTGGTGCCCATGTTCACTGGCACACATCAGAGCTGTTGATCCGTCCTGTGCACATGAAGAGGTTTCAAGAAATCAGGCACAGGTCTCTAATATCTCAGAAATGATCCACACAGCACACTCTGCTTGTCACTGCAAGAAATGAGTGGCTAGAGACTACCTCACCGAGAATATTCATCGAGGAAAATCCACTCTACCCTGACCTACCTCATCTTGAATGTTCACATCCGCGCCTGAATCAAGGAGTAGCTTGACCATATCCAGTCTCCCGTGACTTACAGCCAGCATCAATGCTGTTTGACCAGCCTATAAGAGAAGACGGGCGTTACTAGGTAAAAAAGTGGTTCCATAGGTCTGTCAACCATTAAAAAAAAGACAAATATCCTAACATTATGACTCAGCAATGCTTGTTAAATTACAATGTCTCTGCCCACACATGACTTCAAGTGTGCTGCTTCCAATGTTTAAGGCTTACTGTCTGCAAAAAGAATGACACCAATGTTGGCAGACGATCATGCACCTAGCAGCCCATGACATGACAGCAAATCACAACATTGCTTTACTGTTGCCAGAGGGCTCACATCAACGGAAGTATACACAGCATTGTGGGAAAAAGTCAACATCACAATTCAACTGCGTAACAATTATGCACAGCCCCAAGTTACAAGTATCACGCTTTGCCCAAGTTTATTCAACCATGTCTTGCCATTTGTTTTCTTGCCTTCTGTTTGTTAACTCAATCACTGGACACCCACCATATCTTCAAAGTTCAGCAGCCAGTAAAGCACAGGACAGTTGCCAAATGGTGGCCCAGTAAATGGATCTTTTGGGGCTCAACGCTTCCAATTGCCGGCCCACCCCATTGTGCCCTAGTTGGAGCTTTATTTCGGCAGCCTCTTGAGACTGCTTGGCTCACCTGGGTGGCCCGGATGTTGACACTGCCCAGCTGGAACAGCTTGGCCAGGGTCTGCTGCTGTTTCTGGCTCTGCATGGAGGCCAGGGAGGCCAACATGATGGCTGTGTAGCCGGCGCGGTTGGCCCGGTCCACGTCACAGACCTGTGACTCCAGGAGGAGGTCCACGATGTTGAAGTTGCCATGGGAGATGGCATAGTGCAATGCTGTGTTACCCTGTATGCAAACGAGGGAGACAAAAATGAGAGAAATAAACACAGAGTAGTCAACACTCGATGATCAATGTATATGTAGGTAGTCGTTAAAAGCAATTAAGGAGTCAGGGTGTTCTGAATTTTTTGACTGAAAATTATGGTGCACCGCAGATTGTGGATGAATGCTCTCAAATTCTGAGATTTTGGACTCAAATGTGAGCTAAAAAATTGCCATCAGTGCACTGTAAGTCAATTTCTAGTGCAAACTACAGTTTAATGCAATAATCTTAAAAGGTTAGAAAAAGTAACAACTAATTTCCTGGCTGGGGAAAACTTGGTATGTGAAGGGTGCAAATGAGCCCTCCTTGAAGGCACCTAAGCACATTATTTTCCATGTTACAAACAATAAATCTGGCTTACATTAGCATCGGCTGTGTTGACAATTTTCTCCAGAACGGCCTTGCCCATTTCAGCGAGGGAGGCTAGCAAGTCCTCCACTTGGAGGGGGTCTGATGTCTTCTGGCTTGTCACCCGGAACCACTCCTTGGCGACGGTTGCCATGCAAGTAGACTGGGTAAAGACAGGATACAAATTGGTTTTTTTTGGCCCAAACAACATCTAGCTTAATGGATAAACACTGAGCCTTCTTCTTTATTATTTCTCTTGACCAATTTCTGCATACCAAAACTTCATTTATGGACATTTTGCTTTTTAGCAAATCCATTTGAGTTTTCTACATGGCATATGCCTCCAGAAAGCTACATGCCTTACCATGTCCTTGGCGTTACTATCGCCAGACATCTCAAGGAGTTTGCCCAGCGTGTTGCACGCTTTGGTCACGTCAGCACTCAAGGTGTACCTGTAGTAAGAACAAGAGCATGAATGTTTTCTTGATAAGATGGCTCATTTATGTCGTTTCCTGCATCCCAGGCACAAGGCAGGGGTACATGTATGCATTTTGGCATTTTGTCTCACTCCAATGTGTTTTGGGGATATTTTGCAGAATTTATCTGACAATGTGAAGCTTAAAATGTAGCCACTGGGCTGAGTACTGAGCTTGCATTCCAGGTACATCCCCCTCCCCAAAAATGGCATTTCAAAGAACTTTCAATGTCTGGGAAAAATTTTATGTTTCTGTCTGATTTATTAACCTCCCTTACAAGAAAGGACCCATTGGGCAAGATTTGTTTTCAAGATCTGTGGATAAAATAATCTGTAATGGAATGAAGGACAGTGTATATTTTCATACCCTCTGCTTTCGACAATTTCCCTAATAAACCTAAATCTAGTCTAAGACAGCAGGTCATGTTCAACCCTAAGTGAAATAGATTTAGTTGTATTTCCACAGCTTCCATGCCTAATGGCCTTGATCAATACATTGCCTGGCCAACAAGCGGACTGCATTCTCAGTTCCTCCCTGAGCAAATTAAGGCAGCACTCTGCCCTGAGCATGAGGGGAATGAACCGACGGTCACCCTCTGGACACTGTTGCTGACCCCCCTTCCCACTTGTAGGGAAACTGTTTTTGACATTGATTCACGACAGGATAATGTCCATTTTGGACGAGGTCAAACAAACTGGGGCTGTTTGCACCACACAATGCATAGGCAGCATAAGTCAAAACACTGCTAATCCCTCTAGCACTGACAAACTTTGCAAAAGCTATGCCAAGGAGGAAGGACAGATCTAAAGTTACATGAAAAAATGGGAACATTCTGGGTACAAGGCTGAAAGAGTTAATACGCTGTTCTGTTTAGTCACAGGATTCAACTGCTTCTTACGAACTTCACCATCCCTTGATTGTTTTCCACCAACAGGTGCCCCTGTCCTTACCTTGGTCTATCCAGCGATTTCGCCTGTCCAGTGCTGTTCTTTTTCCTCTTCTTCTCCTGTCTCTTCTTAATCAGCTTGACCACTTGTCCATCGTATGAGCCACCCTCCACTGAGGTGGATGTTGTCGCTGACTCTGAGCTCTCTGTGCTGGTGTCCGATTCTGAGTCAGACGAGTCCTCACTAGAACTCACAACACTGGATGGAAAGATAAAGAAAGCACAGAATAAAGCATGTGAGGCTAGTGAGCCCACTCCTCCACAGCCATGAAAGTATATACATGTATTACCCCTAACCATGCTGAACCCAACGATCTCCAACAGTCGGCACTTTCTGTTTTGTTGATGAGTGCAGTGGGCAAAACCTTGTGTTCTAGCTGTTGGATTCTGTTGGATTCAGCAGGATACACTCTTTTCTGTTGCTGTATTCCATTGGATTCAGCAGGGCACCTAGAGATAACCCAAAGGGTTCTTGCTGAGTCATTATAAAGCCCCTTGTTGTTCTGATCAGGCAAAATGTTTTAAGTGATCACCTTTTGCCGAAAGCACTCTTACCGATGCCTCAGTGATGGGTCTTTCCCCTCTTGTCCGTGCTGGTCTTCCCTCTCCCGAATGGAATCATCCACCATCGTAGACCCCTCTCTGGACTGTGGGCTGGCCCCTGAAATGTAAACAGTGATTGGACCCAGTGGTATCATCTCTGTTGCCTCGGTAACAATCAGGCCATTTGAACATTTGTTCAAGGCAGCCATCTTGAGGACAGTCCCGTGTGAATTGTGCTTGCACATGCTGGTGCACCCATTCCCGCTTTACTACATGTACATGTACATGTAGGTCTATGATTCACTACTTTCCTCTCTTACGACACGAGCGAACCCAGGAAGGGATTGCTTTTGATCCACGAAACAGGAAGACGATTACTGCATGGTCAGTGACATCACCATGTGTCGAAGGACCCGGCGGAAATCCAAGAAAAGGTGCCGCTGACATTTGAAAGATTTAAGCTCATGTCAGAAGAAGACAATGTAGCCAAAAAGATTGCCTGCCATAATTAAATTTAAAACCAGCCAATGAGCGTAAGAAGCGATACATTACCTAATTGCAACTTGTTAAGCACAAGGGTTGGAAAATGGCTTACCAAATATGTGATGATTCACTGCTCTTGATTCCCAAAAATGACATTCACGTGAACAACACACACCACAAGACAGACAGATGGCTCAAAAGGCAGATGAGTTGATGCTTCAAATACATCACAGACAAATGGACAGGCAACACAAACACATGCATGTTTTTGTTTGTTCATCCGTTTGTAACTTCCCTTGTCCTCACAAAGCTTTCTTTCCAAGTTTCCTTCTTCCACTTTTTGGAAACTTTTCCGATTTCATTTGCTCAGATTGTATATCATACTACAGGCAGCCAACCAACACTTACTGTCCTATGGACTTTCAGGCTATTCATGGTGAAAGACAGCAATAGGTGGAAAGGCTTGCGGTAGCACCACACCCCACTGCATCCAGTCACCTTATATAAATAGCTCCATCTTCAGCATCTCTTCAGTTTCCTGACGATGGACTAAGCAAGCAATCCGAAACGTTGAGTATACTCCCGGTTCTCTTCAGAACCACACATACTCATAAGAGATGTATTCCTTCGCATGGTGCTACCGCAAGCCTTTCCACCTACTTACTGTCAGTGGTATATACAGTACTTTACAAATGCACTGGACTTTGTAAGACTTTGACTGATTTATGTAAAGTACATCTTGAAAGTTACATATGCACATGCAGGAATATCACCAATATGTTGCTCTGATACTTATGCAATTTGGAGGGAAAAATATTTATTTATTCTAACAGTAAGAAATGCCAAGACAGAATGCTGCTTTATGTCATCCAATATTCTCCTTTTATAAGAATTAACAGGTCAACGGTAAATTAACAATATAAAGCAATGAAAATGCCCTCTTATTTTCACACAACAGCCGGTATTTTGTACCGTAGGTCATAAACTGATATGGGTTTGGCCCAATATCCCACAAATACAACACTTTGTTATCCATAGAGAGAGAAAAAAGCTTGCTACTGCACAGCCTACCGTACATTGTACTTCTACCTTTGTTAAAAAACGTATCTATCCACTCACGAGGAATTTGCATAACTTTGTGCAAATTTAGGATGAATGATTGGTCCACAGAACTGAAAGGTATGATGACAGCTATTGCATCACGCTTGTTTACCTGCCAACCACTCACATATCCTCCAGTGTGCAATAAATCTCCACTCCAAATACAGGATCGCACAAAAACTGGAGCCCAAAAGTCCCTCCTATTCCATTATCACTTTCCAATAACTACGTATACATGTACGTAATACAGGGGGCTCTCCGATTGGTGTTAAATGATGTGGAACTACAGGGTGTGCTTGTACAGGCACGCAGAATGCAAACACAATCAATTCCCGATACGAATATCTTCAACTTTACAACAGTTAACAGACATTATTTTGATCAAAAGTGCCCTGTGTACGCTGGGGGGGGGTATAAAGGCATTTACCATTTCATCCCGCAAAAAGTTTCTTACCACACAAAAACACTGCAAACTTGTTTTCATTTTTTTTCTTCTATTCTTTTAAGACACTTTTCAGATGTGTGCTTAACTTAAATGCTTGAAATGTTTTTACAGCCCACTACACAGATTCAAAGTAAGAGGTTTTAAACAGTTCAATGCTTCTTGTACATTATGATTTAACGATTAAAGCACTTTAGTTAAGCCCGTCTTAAATATAGGTACACTGTACCCATCTCCAGTCTATAACAAATCATCCAATAAAAATTTGAATTCCACTAAAAATTTGATGATGTTGTTACCAGACCTGTTATTAATTGTAGGTAATTCAAAAACAAAACGAAGCTTTACCAAACATCTAAGGTACTGGTATTACTTCTTATTTCTAATTTCTTTTCTTTAAAACCTCATTTAAAGCAATACCTATGATCAGACCAGTACAATTCCAAAGCAGGAATCCAAATCCCCATTCTGGTAACACATTTTCTGATCAGGAAATATTGTCAGCTGACCAGAGTTGTCTCCAAATCAGGAAACTCAGTAAGTAATAATGAGGTTGGTACCAGCAAGATCAATTTCTACTTTTGTATGGAACTGCCCCTTTCCAACTGGACATGTGAAAGGTTTTGTAAAATGACTTCTGATACCAGCATATGTACGGTAGGTTTGACCACAACACTGCTCAAATTATTATAAAAAGTATGATGACCCAGCGTGGCCATTTTGGTCAGTCACTCACTGACCCAAGGTCACTACACACACTCACTGACCCAAGGTCACTACACACGTCCCTTTTTCTCCCCTCCCCTTTCCTTCCGTGTTGCACTTCATCCCCACAAGTCAAGCTGTAAGACATGATAAAGCAATCGTCTAATCCTCTCTGTGGCAAAAGAGGATTTTTGACCTTAAACCTAAAGTGAACTACAAGTACATGTAGCACAATACCATGAAAAAACAATAAATTAGACTCACTTTCAGTCAGGTGCCCCTCCAGACCTTATAGCAATTTTTAGATTTAACTTTAATTCAAGACTTTAGAAGACCCAAATAAATTCTCCAAAAATAACTGTGAGTGGGCCAAGGCATTGAAAGTTACATGATACACACAAAATATACATGGGACAGAAACATTTAATTTGGCAGTTTTTAAGGATGGCACTGTAGGGGGGTACTACATCAGTGATATTAAGACTCATGCAAGTCTACCAGGAAAGCCAGTAAGGCAGGGTCTTGAAAGTAAATGCTAAAGAACCCTTCTGAGTCTGAGTGGAGAGGAAGAAGGCTTAAGTTGATGGGAAAACTCCTCCCTAGTCTGAGTAATGCTTCACAAATTCACTTGCAAATGTGTCACTAGTGGTGCTTAATTGCCCTCAGCATGTGCATGTGCATATTGGTTCGAAAAAATTCCTTCACAGTTTTTGAGTGTCACACACAGCAACAAGTTTAAAAAGGGGCACTTTTGGGGGGATTTTAGCAAGAGCAGGTCTGGTTTGAAAAGTAGGGTACATGGGGTCTGGCTTGGAATTCTTTATAGGTTACTAAAAATCAAACAAAGAAATGTAAGGACACACAATTCTGTGGGTGTTTCATAATGTGCATTACAAAAGAGCTGATATCTCACCTGCCAGTAAGGCGTGCAAATTGGCAAAACCCTCCGTCATGAAGTCATCGTCATCCTCAAAGTCTAGCCCATGAGTCATTCCCGTCTCTGTTCTCAGCCGGACAGTTGAAGTCGATTGGCTGGTCTTTGTTGTCGTGATACTGGCTGGATAGATGGTCTGCTCCCTCAGTGCATGGGTGGCTGTTGCTACAGAAGAAGTCATGTGATCTGTCCAAACCAAATAGTGTTTAAAGGCAGTATGAAAACACATTTATGGTTGCAATTAGATGCTCTGACATGTGCTATACATGGAACATGGAACTGCAGGGTAACAGAAAAAACTGAAACCACAAAGGTCAACTAGAGGGCATGTATGAAAAAAACCCAGCTATTTTATCACAAACTGGGTTGTGGCTGCACACAAATTAAAAGAAGTACATGTAACTTGGAAAGAATGGGCACATTAAAGGAAGAATAGTTGGCCACCAACAGAAACATTTTTAATCATTCTTTGCAAATTTTGGTTTTGCTTTTTTAACTCAGGCTTGAAAACAAATTGTCCACTGGTACAACCCAGGTCACTCCACAACTTTACTGTATGTTTTAATACAAACCTTCTTGTCTGTGCCATTCCTCAAATTTCCCTGATGCTCGGGTATAATCCATCTTGGGCAAATTGTTGTTTCCTGCCTCCCTCGAGTTGACACTTGAAGGCACAGCCTGCAGACCGTCAGTCGGCGGTGACTTCTCTGAGTCCACAAACTCCCTCTGTATCATCAGCTCTGAGACTTCTTCTGAGGAGGAGGTCGATCCCTGGTAGGGTGAGCGCACCTGGGGGAGGAACACTGAGTGAGCCTCTTCAGCTCTCGATGCCAGGATGTCTTGGATTTCCGATGAGCTACGCTGGTGGGGCTGAGCCTGACTTGGTTTGGTAGTCAAATGGGTAAGGGGGGGTTCAATGGGGATGAATCTGGCACCGTCGACTTGGACCTCTTGCGTTTTGGTGTATAGGCTAATTTCAGAGTTCCCCACACCCACAGATGACACGGTCATATTGTCACAGTGTTCGCAAATGCGATCTGTTACTGTGCAATCGCCCACTCCTGCTGTTACTTGGCTGGTAACCACTGCATCCCCCACTGCATGGTCGCATGTCTCTGGACCGGTCTTCTCAGTGCTGACCGTTTTCATCGGGGGCCGGTCACAGATGTTGCACATCGGCTCGCGGATGTCATGGTCGCCCACTGCTTTGTCAGAACTGGCCGAGGGATCTACAACTTGGCTGTGTCCGACACCGATGGTTTTCGTCATCACGCTGTAATTTGTGCCAATTGTTCTCGTCAGGAGGGTAGAATCTGTGGGTCCAACGGCAACACTGCTTGTGACCAGATTGGTGCAGTGGTCACAGATGGAATCGTAGACAGAGCAGCTGCCGACACCGACTGAGACGGAAATGTCATCCAAATCAATGCTGGTAGACACAGAGCTGACTTTGGGTTGCACAATCTTTTCCATGAGATTGACCTCGACTCCTGCATCACTGACTGTTGGTGGGGTTGGGGTGTTGCATCCGATGCTCGTCAATTCCTGCCGGTCAGTGTTCATTCCCATGTCCAGTCCGAGATGGTCTGTGACTGTTCCGCATTCACTTGTGAATGCGGATGGCTCATACACAGTTCCATGATCAACAAGCTGTGTGACTGTCATTTCTGTACCACACTCAGCTGTTTCTGCTGTTATCATTGCTGTCAGTGATTTATCAGCAGTCTCGAGTTTTAATGTCGGCATTGCTGCCATGAGATTATTGTTGACTGATTGAACCACAATCTCTTCAGGGACACACCTAACTGACTGTTCCCCTGAATCCACTGAAAGGTCCAAGGCATCCACTGATTTTTCACACGTTTCCACAATGCAATCCACACCTCTGCTCAACGTGTCCAGCCTTTCTGTGTTGGTTGTGCCATCACTGACCTCAGCAGTCACAGTGGTTGTGTAACTCTCCGTCGTATGCGGTAGGCAGTTCACACCTCGGTGCGACTGCGCAACTTTGTCTGTGTTGGTAGACCCGTCGCTGACTTCGCTAGGTACAGTGGATGTGAAACTGTCGAGGGTCTCTGTAATGCAACTGACTCCTTGACTTGTCATCTCGGTCTTGTCTGTATTTGTCGTGCAGTCGTTTACAGCAACACTCTCAGTTAATGTGAAGTGGTCCATGGTTTGCACTTGCAGCTGTAGGTCCACACCTACTCCCTGCTCTCTCAGTTGTGGGGACGGAGTGGAGGTGCTCGAATCCTGCACCATAATGTGCGTCCCGGTTCCAAAATCAACCCTTTCCATGCCCTCTGTATTAGTTGACTGCGAGCAGACTGGCAAGAACTCAGGGTTAGTTCCCGAATCCTTCACTGTTTTTTGTGAAGCAAACTCGACAGCATCAGTATTGCTTGCGATACTCTGGCTTGGTTTCTTAAGCATCAAGGGCCCCGTGTTGGTTGCCGAAATCCGCATTTGAATGATGTCGGTGTTGCAGCCGCGATCCCTGCAATAAGAGACCACAGGCTCAATAGAGGTAGACTGGTCCTTACTGATCACTTTATCAGTGTTAGTTGTGCGCTCAAAAAGCACTGCCTTATCGGTTCCAACTCCTTGATTTGTAACGTTTCTCTCTGTAGCTACGCCCTGCTCCACTTGCGTCACATAAATGGTGCTTGTCTGCTGGCTTTTTGTTTGAGGCAGCACCATAGTTGATTTTTCACGGGACTCTTTTGTGTCAGTGTTCACTCCGATAGTCCGAGCTCTGGGCTTCGGGGCTACTGGTGGAGGAGAAAAGCTTAAATTGGGCAGGCTGTTGACACGAGGGGACATCATTGCACGTTTGTACTGTTCCTGAGCTGTGGCTTTTCCTTGCACATTGTCATAGCTTTCATGGTCTCTAAGAGGAGCTGGTGTCGATTGAACTTGGGGAACACTGCCGACTTGGATACTTGTCTCTGACATGACCCTGTCTTGCATTGGCTGGCCGTTCCAGCCGTTTGCATGGCGTGAGGTTTCGAGGCTGTCTGAGCTGCTCTCAGAGGTCACATTTATCCCAACTGATTTTGTCTCTGAAATGACAAAATTAGCGTCGATTCCCACTGATCTAGTTGCAACTGGGTATCTTTGGACAGGGTTTACGATTGCTTTCTTGGCACCAGGGTCTGGTTTAGATTTTCCAAGTCTCTGCAAGGCACTGACTGCTGAAATCTGAGGTTGATTGATACCGAGATCATCAGTGTTAAAGTCCTCTGAACTTCCCATCTCAGTCTCAAATCCATTTGAAGTAACCTTATTGCATTCAACGAGCCCATCGCCAACTGCGACTGATCTGGAGTCTGGTTTTTTGTTCTTTGCCCTCAGCTGCAGCATCAGAAGTCGCTTCTCTTCTTTCAGGACTGAGATTTTCACCTGGAGAACAGGGATGGCCTTCACCTGCTCCTCTAGTTGCTTCAGGCGGGCGAGGGCGGCCGCCATCTGCTGTCGCACTCCTGCAAGTGCTGTGGTGCTGATTGAAGATGGGGTGGATCGACCTGACGCCTGCGAGCCATCCAGACCTGAAAAAAAGGCCTGGCCCAGCAGTGGCGATGGTGCTGCCCCCTGCCCGTAAGCATTCTGAGCGCTGGCAGAGGAGTGGGAGAAGTTTGTTGAGGATGTGGAAGAAATGGAACTGTTGGATCCACTCTGAGAGGACATCCTGAGGAGGTTGGTGGCAAGGAGGTGATGCGGGATGCCTAGGTAGTTGTCGCGACTCATGTCTTGGTCATCCAGTGGGTGCTCTGTGGGGTGGCTCCGCCGCCTGTCTGTTGCTGGTGGGATATTGCTACAGGACGACACGCTCTCTGTTTCCACATCACTCAGACTCACGTCTAGTGGAAATGCCGGAAGGCTCTGAGTGTCCATGGGTATGTGGTCCCGGCCATCTGTGTCATCAGGGAAGTCCAGCCCTTCACTCATGTACCGCCGGCGGATCAGATTGGCAAACTGGCTGTAGGTAGCCACGAACGCAGCATTCTCCTTCTCCAAGATTTTGTCAGCTTCAAGCTTCTCGCGTTGCTGCTTCCACTTCTTGTGCTGTGCGACGGACACTGATCTAGGTGGGACTATTGGTGGAGGAGGTTTGATACTCTTGACAGCCTCATGCCTGGGTCGCGACCTTTTGACCTTCTTTATTTTCTGCAGGTTGGCTCCTGAGGAGATATCCTGGCAGTAATTAAGGAAGTCTAGATCTATGTGGTAGCCATAGGGACAGCAGCTGCACCGTTTTGTTGTAGAATCCTCAACCAGATTGTTGTTGCTTGCGTTGCGGTTCTCAGACTTGAATGAGCTCTTCAGTTGACCTGAAATAAACATACAAAGTAAAAGAATGTGAGAAGACATTGACCTCAATTGTTAACTCTACAAAAGAAATATCTCCAACACTGCTGTGAAATATGTTTTAAGGATTTCTGGTAACATGTATAACGTCTGTGGGGGAAATGTAGAGTGGGAGTGCAGATATAAGTACATGTTACACGTACATGTACATTACAAGAACCTATGTACATGTACATGAACATGTATAATGTACACTGGTGCAATTTATCTTCAAAGTGATATATTAAGGGCATAACGTCTCTGGGGAAACGTAGAGTGGGAGTGCCCTCTGCCCAGGAAATATCCGGTTTTTGGTATCAATTATCATCTGCGATGAGCAATCATGACTATCAATTCACAAGGAGAGAACGTGTTTCCCTCTCAAGATGGGGGGTTAAGTCTGGAGTCTGCAGTCACCTTAAGCCTAACCCCCTTGTGGGATGGGTTCATTCCAAGTATACCTGCTGACAAATGATGTCAATCATAGTACCATGATTGAGCCTCGGATCATGAGTCCTCACAAATGGATCTCAACTCTTCTCCTCAAAGTCACACATTTGAAAGGACACACAATGGAGCATACATGAAAACAGAAGTCAACCATTCTACATGTATATCCAACCATTTCTCTGACGAGAGAGATACTGAAGTAAAGGTAGCACTAAATGAGACATTTACCGGTATATTGATCCAGAACATCCACCTGAGCTTGTGCATGTTTTCATGTGTGCATTCAGCGTTAATTCATTGCTAAAATTGTGATGAAATTTTATAATGACTACATGTACATTGTTATTTTTGCAAAATGAAGCATCCCGATCCTCCAAATGTCCAAACAAATCCACTGTTTCAAATCCAATGGCATATTTCTAAGCCAGGGCCGTTTTCCAGCACTGAACTTCGTTTCCGTCTCGGGCTTCGTTCCAAACACCAATCCCAAAATGTTGGCCTCAAGAGTTTAAATTACATTGGATTACTGTAATTTTTGGTTCTCTTGCATCTTATTTTATGTTCTGTGGCACTAATAGACTGATTACTGTGCTTACAGCTTCAAAGTCAGCTAGTAAAAAACAGTCACGACAGTTTAAGCCTGAGGCGGAGCCAAAGTTGAGTACTAAAAAAATGGCCCTGTGCTGGTACCGGTCCACGTCAAGTATAGCAGTGGGCTAGTCATCCAGCCTCGTGCAACCCCATCAAAATACTACAAAAACCTGGAGTTGGAAGTTTGTGGAGGAGGTGAAGAGTTACCTGTACGGCAATGCTCAAACTTACGATGAATTCAACTGTTCAGCCCTATAAAAATGAATTACCAACTACATGTACATGTACACACGCCTTGGGAATGGTTAAAGTACATGTAAGAGATATTTCACAATCTTTAGTATTAACAGTAATTGTGATGGATGCTTGTTGAGTACAAACTTGACTTACATGTACTGTATGTCCACAATAAATTTCCCCACAAGTACATGTACATGCATGGCAACCATAATTTCTATAGCTACCGGTATGGAAGTTTATGAAATGTGAATGGAACCACTAATCCTATAGACCAACGAAAGTGCATTGAAGGCATATTTTAACACCCACAGCCTTTGGCAAGTAGGTTGTCACAATGGAGTCGTAACCGCTGTGTGGTGTGAAAAAGCCCCGCAGGTTGCATTCAAGCAGCTGTGGTTTGAAAAGCCAGAATTTTAATACTGGAATTATCAATAAATTTTTAAAAATGTCACTGTCAAAAAAATGGTCTTCGGGTCAAGTGCAGTTTCACAAAAGCATATATGAATGCAGTTAAAACACAAGTATACAGGTCTGAATATCCCAGCTTGTGAGTTAAAACCTGCCCAATTGGAAATTGAAATTTGTCCATAATTGCAAACAGTGTTTAAAAATGTGTAAAATTCTACAATCTAGTTGCTCATAATTCTGACAATGAAAAAAGATCCTGAAGTACTTTTAGGCATGCATAAATACATGTACATCATTCAAAATACTGTACAAAGTACTGAATATAAAACATACACATTACATATACAGTTATCGGTGTACCAGCTTTGAAATTCCACATAAGAGTATATTTCCCTCCATTTCATCTAAATTCAATAACCTTAAATATTCCAAAGTGAATACCTCCTCAGCAATCTTGGTACTACTCTCATTATGTGCGCATGTGCTGCAGTTCCTCAGGGAGACAATGAAACAAATGTACAACTGTAGAACGGCATTTGTATCAACCTGCTGTAATTGTGCCTGCTTTAAATCCTTTAAACCTTTAAATCCTAATGAAAATAAGTGAAGGGGTAAGCCAAAGGGGGTACACAGTCCAATCCGCCTGTGAAAAACATTTGACTAGAATGGGACAGCTACTTGCTATGGCCCTTCCACGCTCCAGCCAGTGCTTTGCATTAAGAATACCTGTTCATTAGTCTGAGCGAGACCAGATTTGCTCATCTACATAGAGCACTGGAGTATTGTTGCCAAGATGATTGTATGGAGGAGGGGGGAAGGATGCAAGGAATGTGCACCACAATGTGCACACACCACTTTGAGTCAATGGGGCACAGCAGGGTCATTCTATAAATTTGGGGTCCACTTTTTTTCCTGTCCCTGTTACATCTGGCACATGAATTTTTAAAACTCAATGTTTTATTCCAAAATTGAAGAAGCATTGCAAATTACCTGCCAAACAAACAACAATAGTTTGAAATCAATGTCGGTGATACATGTTCGTCCCTTGTCAAACGGGTCAGATGGTATACAGTAGATGTCAAAGGTAACGGGGACGGAAAAATGTCACACTTTGAACCCCAGGTTTATACATGTAGAATGACCCTACATGTAAATCTCTGGTCAGCATACATACTCGTAATCTCAAGTTGGCAAAAATACTGTACTGAGGCCCTGTCATGGAAGTTACAATCAGCAGCCCATGATGTACGAGAACGTGTACCTCAAGCATAACTGCCATGCATTTCAGCCTGGAAACCTTGGTGGCTTCTTCCACTATCCACCTCCATGTACACTCCCTCTCCCGGAATCCTCATGAATCTCCTGTCTGCAAGAATTTTCACTTTCCGAGGGCATCAAGTTCTATGATAATTACAAGTAATCGGGGTGTACATGTACCTTAATGAATCCTACAAAATTCTCCCAAACAAATTAAACCGGTTACAAGCCACATTTTGCAAAAATACATGAACTCACCACAAGTACCCATGCACCATCACTATTTATCCAGTGGTCTACCGTACATCAGTTAGAAATACATGTGCACATAAACTGGAGAACGGAGTACTAAAATCCGAATGCACCTCTAGCGATCCCAATCCACAAATGACACACGTTACACAGTCTAATCCTTTCTGATCCCGGGTCCCCTTGCTTTCTGAATGGGCCCAACAATCTTTCTGTCCAGGCTGGAATGTGTCCAATGCTTACAACAGCGAAGCCTTTGAAGCGTTTTTTTCCCCCCAACCACTCCTTCAACACTGGCTTTTCTTTTGTGTCTCCATGCACGAGCGCTCACGAGGGATAAGCCCTATGCGCGAGCCTCAAAGAATGGGCCTATGCAATCGTGCATAAGAGTCACTTGATACAGAACGGTATGCTGGCTGTTTACATTCCAGTGAATACAACTTTAGGATATGGAAAAAGAATGGTTGTCCTTGTTTAAAAAATTCAGAAGCTTCTAAATCTGATTTTGTATTATGGGTAAAGTTTACATCTTCAATTGAAAATACGGAAAAAATTCGCAGCACACAAAGATAACTCCTCTTTTCTTGATGTTACAAGTGACTAAGACTGATGACAAAACAAAATACATCTGTGCCTGCATACATGTACTGTACTGGTACGGTACCTTTCTGGATTTATACACGCCAGCCCTCAGCTCAGCCAAACAGTCAACTACCATCAATTCCTTCAGAAAACCCTGAATGTCAATGCTGTTTACTCATACACCTATATTCCTGATGTAAATCTAAGCTCAAGTGTACAAATAATTTCCAATGAAAGAGTCATGTACCGTGTGTACTGAAGATAAATTCCAATTTTGTCTTCCTGGAAATTGAACAGCTTCTTATCCACCCACATTCACAGCAAAAGTAAATGTTGCCATGAAACAATCTGGGTCTCTCTTTATTGCCTTTTGTACCGGTACCGCGTGTCCTTGCTCGGTAGGTACAGTTTTTGAATGCATATATACAGTGAAAGGAAACTGTGAACATGTGCGTGGCGCTTGATGCATGGATGAGCACACCATTGATACAGTAATTCAGGACATGACGTGGCTGATGGGCTAGCCGAAACTGTGCCACTGTATATGCTCACTCAAACATATCGGTAACCTGCAAAAACACCGCAGAACACATCACAGTGCTACTGTAGCCACAGGCGTCTGAATGTGCAATGAACTTTCTGAGCACTTCACTGAGTATGTACATGTACATGTACCGGTAGCCCGTCCAACCAACAGATGTTGGCACGACAATTCACATACATGTATCACAGTAACTTAGTGGCATGATGTACATGTACAATTTGCCTTTCTAGAAGTTCAGTGAAAAAAGTGAAATTTAAGTTCAGGTTGTTGAATAATTGAGCAATTAACTTTCAGTTTGTAGGCCTAGGAAATCTGCACACAGACATAAATGTGCACCTGTCTGCGGGCTGTATATACCGGTACACGGACATGTACATGAACCTATACATACATGTACATGTCACACAAACTATGAACTTAAAAAACTCTCCGAAGTCTGTTTCCACAGAAAAAATAGAAATGGGTCTTTCTATAAATTTGGGGTCTAATTTTTCCTGTCACTGTTACACCTGTTATATGATTTTGTAAGTTTAGAGCACATTCTTTTTTATCCAAGAGTGATTAACTAATGCACATTACCAGTCACATAAATAAAAATACAATGTAGTTTGTCAATTTCAATGATACATGTACATTCCCTAATCAAATTACACAGATGCATGTAGCACCGACAAAAAATGTCACTTATCGGACCCCAAATTTATAAAATATCCAAATGCAGATCAGAAAACTCTGGCAACAGTGAAAGCTTTCTTTTGAGCGCACAAAAAACAATCCCACGACAGCAGTCAGCCTACTGACCATTTTCACATTGGAAGTAATGTGAGTCAACGTCAGTCGAAATCAGTCAACAATAAACTGGCAAGTTGTTCCCAACGGTGTCCTTGACTCAGCAGTCTTGAAAGTGTTGAATTTCACACACGCATAATGAACCCCCTCCCAATTTCATCTCATCCATCAATAGTCTGCGAACAAAGCAAACTCAACCATGGAATAACTAACAAGCAAGATACAGTACTTGTGCATGTACATCAATGTACATCTACTATGCATACATGTACCTGTATGTGGACCCCCACCAGCGAAGGTTAGGTGACCTCAGGCTTTGAAAACAAAAAAGCGTATACTACACTTAGGAACAAAGTGCAAATGCCATATCTTAACAAGTGGAGAGGATCTGTTATCATACTGTACGGGGTACATATGCGATATGCATGAGTGTATCAGGTCATTGTATGCTCTCATCCCAATCTTTTCTCTCACTCTCTTCCAGCAGTGTCAATTAAAAAGTTGTCTTTGGGTCAGCAACTCAAGATTTTTAAACAGGGAGATTTTAATATTACATGAATTTTGCAACCTAGTCAATATGAAGAGTAAAACTAAAGTGCAACATGACAAAGCGAACCACTCATGAAGAATGAGCCTTGTCAGATGTCATCAATGCTTGAACAAATTGTTTTGGATGTTGAGAATAAGGCTTCCAACAAAGAAGAAAAACATACACATCCTACCTAAATGGTAACACCATAGAGCAGTCTCTACATGAAAAACAGACATCACACTTACATATACATTAAATTTCCAAGACCAACAGTCCATGACATATCCAGTTTACACATTCATCTTGATGTGATTCCCAAGGTACTCCACTGTGTTTATTCCATTATCACTGTATTAGACCATAGATTTGTATACATGTATACCAGTAGGTCCTTGCTTGATCCTTGATAGGAGTTCAGACTAGCCATTCTGCACCATGGTCAGTGAATGGGATCCATTTATTTTTTAATACTGCCCTCTACTGTTCAATTCTACTAAATCATTTAAAATGGACTGAGCCAACACACAATTTGGAAAGCTTAAAAGTGATGCACATGTACATGTACAGTACATTATATTGTTGACTGAAGTGTTGTGAAGTACCTTATGTGCACCCCTCATGTGTTTATGGAGCTATCACTCAATGAGAAGGCAAGCCAACGCCGGCATGGATCACAGTGAAATCCTTGAAAAAAGTGGCTGATTAGATTTGACAGAGAAAAAGGCCCTGAGGTGTTTGACGTCATTATGACAAGACAAAGTTTAGGTGAATCTTTGTGACAGGTGCAGTTGAATACTGGGGAGATGAGAAATGTTTTGAATCCCCAATGACGAGTTTTGTGATTGAGAAAACTCTATGCATGCTATGGAAATTCAAATAAAAAAGGTTAGCCACTTACTTTTTTATCTCTGAATGAGATATTTTGTTAAAAATCCTTTGAAAAATAAAACACAATAGTTATAAATGAAATGCAACTTCTAAATTCTAATCATTTTTTCCCTTATAACTTGTATTAAAATATATATGTTCTGCATTTCGAACAAAACACCTGAAAGGTTTCTAACAAAAAACCTTGCTGAAAGTTAACTGTTTAGGCAAATCAAAGTGACAGAAATTGACACCGTAACACATGGTTACAAATACCAGATAAACAGGAACACAGTCTGCAGAGAATCTACTACAAACAGATATGTAAACAATGACAACTTGCCTTCTTGCACTGGGTGATCTCTCTCAACTCCAGAGCTGCCATCAGCAACTCCTCTCCCAGAGGAACCTTCCGCCATCTTGACTTTTTCTTTATATTTCACAGTGTTATCATATTCTCATAGCCACTTCTGTGGACAAAAAAAAAGGGAAAATAGATTTTATGCGACAGATTACATATGCACACAATCGCCAGTAAAAGAGCTCACTTTCAAGATTTCGCTCAAACCTCTCCTGAAAAATGAATGGAGAGCTAAAGTGTTTCCCCAAATGTAACACTCACAGGTTTCTGGCAGGTGTAAAGCAGTGCCTTCAAATTTAAATTCGACCCAGGTTCTAAGACACATTTCCATGATATTCAACAGGAACTTGATGTTGTTGACCAAAGTCGAAGAACATTGAACCAGACCATTGCAGGTGAGTAGCAGTTACCACCCCAGGCAAAACAGATGATGAACCACAACACCATCACTGGTCTGAGACTCAGATTTTTGGGGGTTGCAAAGCACACATACCAAAGATAAATGAGGACACTTGTGACCTTTATGAATAAATGGCACCTTATCATCTCCAAGTTTCAACAAAATCGTTTGCATATGCTCTTTTTTTCTTTTAGAGGATGGCAAATTAAAAAGGCTTGCAACTCTGGTCCAAGCTACCTTGATGTTCCCTTTTGCCCGGTAATGCCTGGGGTTCAGGAAGGCTATCGGATGTAATAAATTGAGAGCAATCATTTTATCGAGGGTGCGCACAAGGAACACACAATTACTGCACGTGCCCAATTTAATCAGAGCATTAACAGAACCACACTCCCAACAGGTGAGAGCCACAACTACATTTAGCAATGAAAATGACGGGCACTTCATGAGCCCCCAAAAAACTTCAAAACGAAATGTCAAGTAATTGAATGTTTCATCTGTAGTACAAAGGATCAAACAATCACATTTTGGCAGTAACTGGGGAAAACTCACGAACATTGAACCAACAGCTAAAATCAAATCCTTGAAAGTAAGGAGAGCCATAAAAATGTGGATATCTGCAATTTAAATTAATTAGGAATGTAGTAAAGACATATTTCACACAGGCTGCTTTAGTATTATGTACATACATGTACACATGTACATGTACCGGTAGCAATCAAATTTGAGAGTAGAATTACATGTACTGGTACAACTACCAACCTTTATCAACACCCAGCTTTTAGGGAAGAACGATAAAATGGATGAAACAACCATGGGTGGTGCCACAAATATACGTACACGTGTACAAGACACTTCAGCACATGTACATGTAATTGCTCTAGTGTATTATTGTATAACCTCACTATGACAGTGCAATGTATGCATTATGTTAGCCAAGAAAACAGTTACATTTTACCTTGAATGTTGTTAAAACATAAATGCTCTTCAGTGAATGCACTTATAGTACAACCACATTTACTTCCTGAGAAGTTCAAACAATCACGACAAAAAGGAAGCAATATTTAAGCAAAAATAGCCCTAGCAGGAAGTACTCTGTAAACACCTGTTATTTCTATCTTCCAACTTCAGTAATCACAGTCAAACCATCTCATCATGAGGCTCAGAATTATACAGTAAAACAAATACATAGGTTTTAAACAACAGATGTACCGCTAGTTTACCAGCATACACCCATCACGCACCAGAACGTGACTGTAATTTGTAAAGTACTCCGAGGCTACATGTACATGTAGTGTATGTAATGGAAAGGACAATAGTGGAAACATTTGCTACCAAAAAAAAAAAGAGGAAAGTGTACTCTTCCAGTCTAACCGAAACACAAAAAATTGCCAAAGAATTCAAAGCTCATTTTCCCCCCAAGGACAATATTTTCAGATTGGAAGTCATTTATTCCGCCGTAATCCACTCATTTTGTATTGCCGGTAATATGAAACAAGTGCACTTTTACGTGTTCTTTTCACATTTTCAATCTTCAGTGCTTCAATACTGGTACACCTACCGGTAGAATAATGTACAAGATACATGTCCAATCATGGCACAACACTGACTCAGTTCTTTTTAGCTGATGATTCCACTCTGAAAATAATGATTTAAGAACGAAAAATGAAAGCTGCACTTTTCTAACAGTAATTTCAAGACTGAATACCCAAATCTTACAATACAACGGTGACTGCATCCAGTGTGGACTTTGAACACGAGAAGCAGGAAATCCATCTTAGACACAGGACCTGAACAACATGCACGATGAGCGCATGAATTACACCAATCACACTTGAAGACTGACCATGTACAAGTACTTCTGTGTATACATGTACATGTACAGTGGTATCCTGTACATGTAGATGTATAATATACATGTACATGTTCATATGGCACTACCAGTACATGCCCATGTGCATGCACCACGGATGAGCCCCAAACATACTGCCTACCCTTGTGTATTATTAATAGGATTGATCTCATCCTTTCACTGGAGATGAAAGAATTTCACCGTCTCCAAGGGTCTATATTTCCTCTTCTTCATTAGGTAACAATGCCAGGTTCTCCCCCTGGCTTTAAAAGTTCAATGACCACACACACACATTACTGCACACATAAGTTTTAAAAGCGTGTCTTTGTGCCTTGGGAAACTGTTCTGAAATACACCAGCAACGGGCATCTCTCAGTTCAAGTAGCACATTTTCAAAGCAAGAAACTGCATCATTTTCCTCATTAAACTGTGACTTCAACCAAATGCTACTATTTTTAAAACAAAAACCCATCGATTTGATTGATCAATGGGAAACCTAACCACAAAACCACAGCACAGGGGCACCAGTTTATCCACAGGCCAATGACCACAATCATAACACTGATCAACCACACAACCACAGGCCATGTGCTGGTTCGGCTGTGCATGGTGTGATTCTACCTCCATGGCCAGTGCAACTACTGAAAACTGTTTACATCTCATGAATCATGAGACGCATGCACATATACCAGCAAATCAACAAGAAACATTTGAATTCTTTAAGCCTGAAAAGGATTTTATTAGATGGAGGAAAATGGCTCCTCCCTGACAGTGTAACATGCAAGCCTACCTACATGTAGGAATGCCGATGTACCGTAAAATGTAACATGTATAAAAAGCCAATAATAACTGAAACTTTGTGGACAATTATTTAGCTGTTCCCTCTCTCTTTACTATTCCATAGACACAGACAACACCAGTCACAAAAAGAGAAATTTCGGGAAGAGTTCCATATACCAGACGCCAGTAATTAGCTATCATCAGAAAGCAAACACAAGTCCGGAGAAGTTAACTTAGAAAACACTAGAAAATTTTTCAGACCAGTTTCATAGGGTTTGTGCACAGCGTGTCAAGCGGCGTCCGTATATGGAACTCTTTCCGAAATTTCATCAATCTCAGAATTGAGGACAATAGATACTGGTACATACAGTACCCTTGTTCAATTCTCTAACGAGTAATATTAGATACCAGCAACATGTACTCAGTATAGTCTTAATGTATCATTTATGGAGTAATATTACTTACCTTATGCCCCCTCAAATCTACATTTGTACATATATGATCACAGG